TTTTTTTTTTTTTTTTTTTTTTTTTTTTTTTTTTTTTTTTTTTTTTTTTTTTTTGATGAACAGATGGTCAATTATTGCTGCTCAGCTGTCGGGACGAACGGACAATGATATCAAAAACTACTGGAACACGAAGCTGAAGAAGAAACTTGTGGGGATGATATCATCTTCTCCAAACACTTATACTCAATCTTTAACCCATCAAAGCACCTCCTTGAACATTCCAAACCCAATGGCTGAACCATCACCCACTTCTAACATCATTAATGGCAGTTTGGTGGGCAACCCTTTTGAGCAGTGGCGCTATGGAGCCCTTAAAATGAATGAAATGCAAATGGGGTTTGAATTTGGAAGTGGGTTAGTCACTTCCAGTAATGGGTTTGAAGAGAATCATGGGAAGTTGATGAGCAACAACGAAAGTGAGGTGTTCTTGAAGATGGAGGAGGAGGAGGAGAAGATCAAGAGAGAAGTGGAAGAGAAGTACTTTTATTACTACTGATGAGGGGGTTTGTTTATGATATTAATTTGGTTTAATTTGTTTTAGGGAATTTATGAATTTCATGTTATGTTGTCCAACTGTGAGCTTGAAATCAGTGAGATTTGACGTATAATATCTAAAAATTACCCTTAATTAATTCTCAATTAATAACAAATATGAACAATATTAGAATATAAAATGGAATTATGGGCTTATTTATTAGCCATGGACATTTAATCCAGTATTTCCTATATTTAGTTTAATTAAGTTAATAAAATTAAATTGTTTTTTTAATTTATTATTTATTGAGAGTAGGAAGGGCAGCTAATATTGTAATATTATATTACTGCCACATTAAGTTTTTAAATTGACATTACAGCTCAACTTGGGACCACCATCTTTAATTTTGGGATCTTTTGAGGTTGTAAATTTTCATACGCAACCCTATAATACCCAATGGATAAAATGCTTGTTTATTTAATCAATTAACAAAATTATTGTTTTTTAGTTTAATAATATATGTAAAAATGAAAATTCAAATGTTCCTTCAGTCAAATATATATGTCTTGTAATGAGATCAGATAGACATTAATTATTGTATTTTGCTTCAATTCGTTAGAAGAATTTGTATGTGATAATATTATAAATTCTTGGTAAATTTTACAAAAATATATAACATTAAATATTATCCATTTTGAGAATAAATTTTCATTATAAAATAACTATAAAATGCTTATTATAAATTCTCAACGGGGGAATCACTCCCTATAACTTTCAACAATCATCCCTCCAACACTAGAAGTACACTTATAAATTCATAATCTTCCACTATCTTGCACTAAATTAATTAACGTGGCGCTCACTCCTAATAAACCTCAACAATTTGATGTCTAATAAATTCATAGATTTTTTTGATTTTGTGATTAGTGAGTTCATGAATTTTAGGTCTAGAAGGAGACCTAAAAGGCACAAAATTGAATATTTAGATATATCTTTTTTTTTTTTTGTAAAATTTTAAAAACTTTTTGGAAGGTAGTTAAAAATTGAGAGGAAAGGGGCATAAATAAAAAAGTTGGTAGACGTAGAGATTTCTAATTCGTGTGGCTGTCAGAAACTGCGTGTCTCTCTGAAAGGGATTTGTGTGGGCTTGGCCCACTTTTCTCAGGTCGGTTTCAACTTTCAACCCAATCGCCATTACCATACATCTCTTTTTTTCTTTTTCTTTTAAAAAATTAAAAAAAAAACAAAAATAAGAATATATATATGCGCTTGATGTATCTCTAAATGTTGAAAATGACAAATAGATTCGTAAAGTTCCACTTTGTATAGAATATTTCTTGGGAAATTTTTTTCTTTTTGATTAATAAATCTATTAAAGTTAAAATTAATTTTATATCTAATTTAAACTTTTAATTTTTAAATTTATTTTTTTTAATACGTCAAAATTAATAATTATTTCAATGTTTGGTTTTTTATTCTTGATTTTTGGTCTTTTGTTTTTAATTTCTGGAAAATTGGAGATGAAAGAAATAATTTAGAGAGACCAATATGTGGTGGCACAAAAACAAATAATTAGAATCAAATGTAATAAAATTTAAAATATGAAGAAAAAAAAGTTAGAGAGGGGATCCAAACTACAAAAATTAATGATTAAACTTGCACTTGCCACTCTAAATCATAATATAACGAATAAAATAGAAAAGATCATGTAAAATTAATATATACAACGATATTCAATATGCTTTTTCTGCAAATGAATGGTCATATTTAACCAAACTAATTAAAGAGGCAAAATTACAAATTAAAAAAACGATGTCATGGACTTAAACATTCATAATAAAATATTAAAATAACGTGATATTTAAACAAAACAATGCCATTATCTAATCTAAAGGCGATAAAATAGACAATATGCAACTACTCTGCACCGGTTCTCCGTGGTTCTATGACTTTCATCATTATCTCATTGTAACCACACTAGTTAGAAAAGGTAAACACATGCACCATGGTAAGATCTATCCTCTTAAAACATCATAGCATGACTTTAGGCTCGACAAGGTTGGATGTATAATATTTCTATACGGATGGCTCACGTGTGCGTGCATGGGCCCGCCAAGGGGCTCACACACTCCCTAGACTTGGCTCGTCAAGCTAGCACTTGCTAATGTGTTGTTGTCGAATGCTATGGAGGGAAGGACCCACATAATAACATGGAAAACATAAATGTCGTAAAGTATTTATCCGTACTCATCATATTGGTGAAATATCCCAATGCACATGACACACAAATATGCATGAAATCCCCATAGGTTATAATCCTGGCATAATGTATGATGCAAGACAAACTTCTCTTTATTTATAGCCTAACAAGTCATGAATTATACCGTCATAATTCTTGTAAATTCCAAGATACCTAACATAGCTTTCCTGACATGTTCTACGAAAGTTTATGCTATCATATCTTATTGATTTAATAACAACTTTATACAACATGATATGATCACTAATATAACATAGCTTTTATACCTGATATAAGTTATCATAGTATAACATAACATATGACATATATGACACATCATAACATAGCATCAAAACTTTGTATAACTTAACATATCATTCATACATATAACAAGTGGAGGAGTCATGGGACATTGCATCATCATGCATAATACAATTCATCAAACCAAGCTAATAGTGGAGACACTTACTTAGTTGGCCTAGGCCGAAGTCATTGGCTACCTTGTTGCAAGAGACTACTCCTTAAAATTTAATTTTACCTAAAGAGCTCCATGATCATAATTTAAAATTCTGCTATATAAATTAGAATTCTATGAAAATTGATTTATAATTTAAACTTAACTCAAAATAATTTAAATTAGCTGAAAGATAGTCACAATCCAAGATAGATTGAAGCTGACCTAGAATCATCAGAAAATATATTCTCACCAACCACAAGTGACCTTCCTTGGTAGAGTCCAATTCCCTACCTTCTCAACCTATAAAAGATATGTTACTTTTATTTTGTTTATTTCTTTTCAATTTTGAATTATTGCAAGAGTTTGTCTTTTGATACGTATTTAAATCAATATGATAAAATTAAACCTCTATCTATTTTCAGCAAACTGTAAAAGCAATTGAGAATGAATCACGGTTTTAATTTAGTTGATTTTGTGTAATAATTATATAAACCGAATGAAATATCAGTTTTTTCTTTCTTACTCAATATTTAAGTGGCCAGAATTCACTGTTTTAAAACTAAAGTTTACAAAATAGTTCATGAGGAAAAGGTACGGCAGGACAAACAAACAACGTTGGCCAAGTCAAATAATCCAGGTACAACTCACTCATACCCCTTCAGTATTTAATTACTTTTCCCCTACAACAATTCAAGGCCTTTCAAACTTCAATATGCTTGGACTGTGCTTCCTGTTCATGCAAGTTAAGTGAACAGCATATTTTGATTTACAGATCACCCATCAATTACTAAGAGATTAGATCTAAAATAATTGAAATCTACCCTTCAAAATAGAGGCAGGATGTTAAATTACCACTAATCACTAGGTTTATGATGAGAATTCTGGGTTTTATTAATTTTGCCACAAATTTAGCTCAATGTTATAATCTGCAGATTATTTGGCGTTTTCGATGATGTTCAGGAAGCTACCACTAATAATTAATTTCCTTAACAATATTTTACGATCATTGCATGGGGCTTCTCAATTATTTGAATGAATGTTTGGGGATTTCTTCTTCCCCCTTATATTTTTCAATTATTTTAATAATTTCCTTACTGTATTAATTTTGTTTTTTCCTTTCCTAATGGACCATTTAAGATGCTCCGAGAAATTAAGGTAGAATTCAGGCACACACTGTTCAAAGAAGAAATCCAGTCAAGTTTACTTTCTTAACCATTTACATTCTTGCTTATGATCTTTCCCGAAACACTTTCAGTCTCCCATGTCCAACAGATTCAATTTCTGAACAACTTTGAGTTCATATTATTTCGTACAAGTAGAGGGAGTGAAGAAAAAGGAATTCCTAGATTAATTTGAATTTAATTCACATAAAACATACAATTGTTTATGCATGTGAATATCTAAAGTTGTTCATATCTAGAAATTCTTCAAAATGAACATAATAGTAATGAATAATTAGTCTATTGTACTAAAAATAACACGTTAAATCAAAAAAGTCCGTTCAAAAACGAATTCTCACACACGCTAGTTTGTTTCATAAATTTTTACAAAATTCTTCCACATAAACTGTTTAAGTCCTCTCTGTTTTTGGATAGAAAAACAGATGTAATCAATGAATTTAGCAGATGCATGTTGAAACAGCAAATAAAAACTAAAAGTGTGAACATCACGATCTCGATCTCTACAAAAATATACACATAATACATATAGAGATAGAGAGAGAGAGCGGAAGAAAAAGAAGAGTTCCACGGTCCTACATTCTGATAAATGGATTGTATAGCTTAAGAAGAGGAGAAGATCCAGATTTAAGAGGAAATGGATTACCTGAAAAAACCGTACGGGGAGGAGATGGCGGCGGTGGTGGAGAGAGAGAGCCAAGATGGCATTCACTTGCAGAAGCACCTGCACCTCAGTGGCCTTGTGCATTTGAAGAGAAAAGAAGAAACAAAGCTGAAGGTGTAGGTGCAAATGCAGGAGAAGGCTAACAATTTGGCCATAAATTTCTGGTGATTTCAGGTGCGTTGTGTCCAAACGTGGGAGAAGATTATATAATCAAAGAGATTCGGAGATTGCGAGAAATGGAGCCAAGAAGTGGGCGGGGCGAGGCGGGGCGGGCGTTAGGGCAAGGGAGGAAGAGATAAGGACGCGACGAACTCGATTATTTATGGTACAGTACCAGGACTGATGTGGTTCTCTGGAATTGGCTGCTTCACTTTGCCCACGTGATCCATACCATCCTCCCCACGTGGGTTTTCTTCCTTCCATCAATCACCATTCGCCACGTCTTCATTACCACCTGCTCTCCACATGCTCCCCCCTCCTTTTTCTTTTCTCCACTTTTTTTCTGTTTCTGTTTCTCTTAATATAAATAAAAATACCATTTCTACAAAAAACTAAAAAAAGCGGGGTAAAAATAAAAAAGAAATGATTTGCATGGAAGCCCCTGGAATAATTGGGTGGGCGTGACCATATACGACAAACGGATTTTATTCCATCTACAAAAAGATATATATATATATATATTCATTTTTACTGCGCTTACTAAAAGACAAATATACCCTCCGACGCGTGAACTCCACAGATTCTTCTTCGTCCTTGATTTTCCAAAATAATAAAAATAAAAAATAAAAAATTCAAAATTTAATACCAACCTTATCTCAAACTTATCGAATTCAATTTCATATCATAATTCAGGTGGTACGGACCTAATCTCAAATTATGTAATCCATGTGGTACAAACCTTATCTCAAATCATGTTCGCGTTTCATCTAACACCGTTCGTTTGATATTCATATCTCAAATGGATAGGATTCTAAGATGCAAATATTATATTTATACCATAATGTAAATTTTCTTTTCAAATAATGCTGGATTTTTATAACATATTAAAATAAAAAATTAGTTACTAATTTTTTCATGAGTTAAAAAATTTTCAAAAAAGAAAAAAAGAAAAGAAAAAAAGAAAATTGGGTATAAAAACGAAGAAACGTGGTATCTGGGAGGAGCAGAGGCAGGGAAGCGACCCGAATGATCGGGGAGAAAAGAAGGGAAATCAAATAATGGTGAGGGCCGTACAGTGGGAAAAAGACAAATATACCCTCATCATTAAATAATACAAGGGGCAGATATTTGTAGCAAGTGGATTCATAATTGATTGATTTTCCTTTCTCCTTGGTCCTTGGTGCATTAAATTTGGAAATTGTTTTTTGTGGGTTCCTAAATTTCTGTATTCAGTGGCCCAAAACTGACAAATAAAACTGGGCTATATGTTGTTTGTAGGCCCAATCTAAATCTCAAATACTATGTACTATGGCCACTAACGAACGTTTTGCTGTAATCGGCGTTATAAGGTTGTTCTTGCGTTTAAATAAAGATGGAGGAGGACTAAACGAACCAAGTTGGGGTCGATGTCGAAGACGACGATCAAAATTTAACCAATCCGAGAATTTGAGGGTACAATGGCTTGGGTTCTCTTGAGTGAAGTTAAAAGTTGAATTAGATTTTGTCCTCTTTGGACTTTTCCTTACGAGCTTCCTCTCAAAGGTTTTTTTTAAAAGCGTCCGCTAGGGAAATGTTTCCACGCCCTTATAAAGAGTGTTTCGATGTGGGATCTCACAATCCACCCCCTTCTGACCTAGCGTCCTGACACTCGTTCCTTTCTCCAATCGATGTGCGACCCATACCAAATCCACCCCCTTTCGGGGTCCAGCGTCCTACTGGCATACTACCTCATGTCTATCCCCCTTCGAGGAACAACCTCCTTGCTGACGACACATCACCCAGCCAGTGATTGGATATCATTTGTAACAGCTCAATCCCACCGCTAGCAGATATTGTAAAAGGTGTTTCATTCTCCTCCTCAACTGACGTAAGATCTCACAGATTTTGATAGTTGTCTCTATGTCCCAAGTGTCACATCGGGTTGAGTGGGGATCTGATATTGTTTTGGAACAAAAGCCTTAATGTCTTCATTACTCGTTTTCAATCAGGCACGTTGTACATAATAGATGAAGATTCAACCGGTGTCCATTCTAGGGACATATGAATCAATCAGTCTAAGAGAACAGATTCTTGAGACCTTGTAGGGAGGCTCAATAGTTCTCTAAATGTCCCATTGATAAATGAATGAGACTTAAACTAATAATAGCAAGCATTTACCCAAAAGTGAAGCACGCGGCTTGCCGATGACCGACTTGCCATGGAAGCTTCTTAGCAGCCTCTGTGTCTCACAGGCCACATTAAATTAATTGACCCACAGATTACGCACTACTACCCAAGTAAACGCTTGACTTCACTTCATTCATATGTTCAATTTTTAATCCAATCAATTCAACATCACATGCCTATCTTCTTCTCAACTTTATTGAGTGAAAGCCGTGGAAGCAACGCCCAGTTTTCGCCGCTATAAATACTCTGCAAACAACTCCCATTTCTTTCACAAACCAAACCCCAAAACTCCAATTCCATCCTAACAATGGGCGAGGTCATTTAACTCATTCATCTTTCTTCTAATCCTTTCCATTTTTCTTCTCATACTCATTTGCTTTACTTTCTCTCTGTTTACAGAAGAAGAATGAAGACACCACCACGGCTGTGTTCAAGATCGACATGCACTGCGAAGGCTGCGCCAACAAAATCAGAAAGTGCGTCCGAGAAATCGAAGGTATTAATTCCCAAACAATTTTTGCGTTCTCTTCGCTAATTTCTTTTGGATCTAAAGCTAATTTCTAATTTTCTTCTTTGGAAGGCGTTGAGAGAGCGAGAGCAGACTGGGAAGCCAACAAGCTGACAGTCATCGGAAAATTCGACCCTGCCAAGCTCCGAGAGAAGCTCGCCGATAAAACAAAGAAGAAAATCGACATTGTCTCGTCGGAGAACAAGAAAGAAAAGGAATCCAAGAAACCGGACGAGCCCGCCGTCGGTGATAAAAAACCAGAGGAAAAGAAGTCCAAAGACAAAGAGGTGGGTGAGGAACTAACGTGCGCTTCACTCAAAGGCGCAAGTTAGACAACAATCCAACTGTCAACAGTTAATTAACTCGAATTTTTAAAATTATTTTACTGATTAATTGTTATATTTGCCAGACTCCGGTGACGACGGTGACTTTGAAGGTGGAACTGCACTGCCAGGGTTGCATAGAGAAGATTTACAAAGTGGTAGCCAGGACCAAGGGTAAATTTACTTTTAAATTCAATTGATTACCTTATCATTCAATTGAATAAAACAATCAATGATTTTCTTTGAATGGGTGTACCTTGCAGGAGTGGAGGATATGGCGATTGAGAGACAAAAGGATTTAGTAATGGTAAAAGGAAAAATGGACGTGAAGGCTCTGATAGAGAATTTGGAAGAGAAACTAAGGAGGAAAGTTGCAGTGGTGGTGCCGAAGAAGGACAAAGACGACGAAGCTAAGGGAGGAGACAGCAGCGACAAGAACAAGAGCGGCGGAGATGCTGCTCAACCCGCAAATGGCAGTGGCGGGGGAGATGGTCACAGACTTGATCACATGGCAGTTCCAGTTTTGGGATATGGGTACGGGTACGGGTACGGTGGAGAACATTTACCTTCGGTTCAAATGTTCAGCGATGAAAATCCAAATGCTTGCTCGGTCATGTGACAACCAATATAGTTTCTTAGAAATATGTAACTTTTCATTCTATTTTTTCTGTAAAGAAACATCATTATATGTCAATTATCGTTGAGTTATGAGGTTAAAGATGGTGTCTCGGGGATAAAGGCGAGAAAGATTAGTCCAAAATGCATAGTCCGGAAGTGAAGTGAGAGGTGGGGTTTGTTGGTGGCGTCCTTCCAGGAAAGACAGAGACCTTTTCCATTGAACCAAGTGGAGGAAAGAAAGAAGAGTTGGATAACACAGTCATGCACCTCTCTAACATACCTTTCTACCAATAATTGAGGAGTGGAAATTTGGAATCTCACTTTTTCACTCAAAAACAAAAAGGGCTCTCATTTTCCTTTGAATTTCAATACCTCTTTTCGTCTTTCTGTTTTTGTGTAGGGACAAGTTCATCTTAATGATATCCTTCAATCCCGCCATTCTGATTCAACTGTCTTTTGGGCTAATCTTTTCCACATTCAAACATAGTAACAACAATCAAGCTCTCCTATGAAATGGAATTTTCTTTCTAATACCTGAAGTATATTATTATCTTTTCATTCCACAATCCTTCCTCACAACGAACAGGCATTAGGTGGAGCTGGATGGAAGAATTGACCTCTTCACCGCCCCAACGTTAATCTCTATCTATGTGAGATCCCAGTCGGTTGGAGAGGAGAACGGAGCATTTTTTATAGGGGTGTAGAAACCTCTTCCTAACAAACGCATTTTAAAAACCTCGAGGATAAGCTTGAAAGAGAAAGTCCAAAGAGAACAATATCTGCTAGCTTGGTCTGTTACAAATGGTATTAGAGCCAGACACGAGAAGATGTGCCTGCGAGGAGGCTGAGCCCCAAAGGGAGGCGGATACGAGGCAGTGTGCCAACAAGGGTGTTGGACCCCAAAGAGAGGAAAAACTCGAAAAAAAAAGTCTAAAGAAGATAATATCTACTGGTGCACACGATGGAAACGGAAGAAAACAAAATTATCATGAGAGAGGAGAAAAAGTGCAAAGAGAGATGAACATTTAACATCATTACCCAAATGGATGGTTTCACTTTCACTACCACTGAGCGACCATTTATAGAAGTGGACATCAAAACTTATCTCTGCTTTCATAAACTTCCAAAAATCATGCGCAGAATTACGTCTAATCTGATAGCAACTAATAAAGATAGCTCCTTCCATTTAGCCTTAGATAGCAGCATCTCATCAAAATAACTGGTGGAGCTCAAGCTTCACCCCCCCTCTTTCCCAGCTAATGACAATAAGAATGTTTTTGGATGCTTATGCTAGGTCGAGATGCATCATCGGAGAATAAGTTTTAACACCATGATTCTCGAGTGAGTTGACTATAGCCCTGATCTTTGTGCGGCTTTTGGACCCTTTCTTCTCAGTTTCCTTGTTTATGTCCACACAAATCCCAGTTCCTTGCCCCTGTTCCAGACCGTCCACGGTCGCCTAGCCACATTCAAGATCGTCTTTGAATCACCTATCCAAAATGTTAAAATATCCCATGGGTTTTCAAACTAGCAATGATTTCAATCTTGGAGAATGAATTGGTATGCTAAACAAAAAAGACGTGTAGGACAAAAACATGTAACAGAATCAGGTATGGAGAGCCACATCTTAGCCAGGTAATAGGTTACAACAAATTACAGAATCTTACCATGCCTTCTTGAACCAATAACCATCTTTGGTGTAACCAAACCACTCCCATCCCTCAAGACCAAAAAGAGATAGTACAAGAATAATCTCTTGTTGTCCATCGACCATACCTTTCTGACTCAACCTCCGTGGATTTGGCGACAAGCACACAGTCGAGGAAGTAGATTCGGCCCTGGAACAATGTTTTAGGGATCGAACAATGTTTGTTTAGATGCCTCCCTTGGATAGCGTTTTCATATTTCATCGTATTTGCTGAAATATTCATTTCATTTAATGTTTCCATGAATCTGTGTAGGCAGGCCTCTTAGTTTAATCTCTTAATGAACCAATTCACCTTCCATAACCTAAACGGACCTAAAATTTTGAGGTAAAGGTTTCTAACAACAATGTCGATGATGCCTCTCGACCAAGAACCCTGCGTGCACTCCAAATGATATCATAACCATCAGAAATAGTGTCAGTTAGGACAATATTGAAAAAAAGCATCCCTTACAATTGAATAATGGATTCACACACAGAACAAACCAAAAGATTGGAGGAGCAACAAAAGGGGTTTTTTTTTTTTTTTTTTTAATATTGATGAGTATTCAGGCAAGCTTGCATGCACTTCAACTGATATCACCAGACGTAAATGATTATGCAAACAAACAAATCAGATGAAAATTAAGCATTTTATTGGTAAGTAACAAAGTAAATCATGGGACAGAATTGCAATAAATTAAAGGCTTTCCATCCTCAAAATTGCATTAATAAAATATTTCATCAGTCATTACTCAAGTTCATACGGAAACATTAAAGCTTAAAGAACCAGCAAATAAAGTAGAGAAACTTCTATTATATTAATTATTCATCACGATAGATGTGTTAACTTAATAAATAATCCTGGTTAGGTTGCAATTGAGCTTCAATTCAACAGATTAACGATAAAAGAGAGATTGAATCCATTAAGAAAGAAAGCTGGCTCCAGCTTGAACCAGGGATGCAGATTGGGCACATGATGAAATAATTAATAAAGCAAACACACGCTATAAGGATATGCATAATATCTAATTAAGTACATTTAGGCTAAGCGGTAGCCATTTCCAACAAAAAAGATGAATAAAATCACACCAAGTCAAGAAAACAAAAGAGGAAAAGAAAAACATTTGAACTTTTTATAAGCGTTGCAATATTCTAGAATGCATGAGAAAATCAAAGATTTTAGCTCAAGTGGAGCCTGACCTGAACGTTTAGAGATTGTGAAACTTGAATTATCAATCAATGAGCTCCAAGGAAGAACGTAACAAAGACCCACAAATATAATATAAACATTCGAATTCCCACAGACCTAAACTTATCTACATGAATGATAAGCAGCCCAACAAATGATTCAGTACAAAACAGGACATCCAGCAACGTAAAGCTCTGCAAAATTTAGAGAAAAATACTAGAATCTTTAGGAATCTCAATTCTAAATGATGAAACTAAGGCAGCCAATTCAGTTTCAAATAGAAGGAACCTGAGGAAGACTGGAGTGTTTGGGACGAAATAGCTAACCTTGGTATACTTGCATACAAACTGGAGAGATGAAGACGGGAACTTTGGAGTTGAAAGAATGAAAAACCATGAAAGAACGCTTGAGAAATCAACAGAAAAGCAAATAAGCCCCCTCCACAAACGAATCCGCCAATGGTTTGGTCAAGTTTTTTTCCCCACCTCCTCTTCTTTATAACCTTGTAATTAATATCATGAATGAAAGTCATGTATCAAACGCTAAACAAACTTTTTGGCTATTCGAATTAAAGCACTTTTAAACCTTTTTTTCTCCCAATTGAAAACAACCTTTTGCAATAGTGACTCGTCATGAAATTACAAACTTAGGATTCGCCTTACAAAATTTATGAAATTCTTCATTCACAAACTTAAATGGCAATTCATTCAATAGGACCATACAAGCAAACATCGTTAAATAATTCTCCAGTGAAAGATTAGTTATCAAATTACATTTAGAATCTCCTTCAACATAATTCCTTAACTTGTATACTTCTTACATTTCTCCTAGGTGCCTTTTAAAATTTGTTGCCCCATTTCTCCTAAGAATCACGTGCATATGTAGCCCCGTGATATTTATGCTAAATTAATAAAAATACCTTCGAACTTTGTACTTTGCATCAAAAATATTCTTGAACTTTCAAAAGTTTCAATAATACCCTTAACTATTGACAAAAGTTCAAAAAGATTCTAACCATTAGTTTTGGATGGAACTATTAGTACTTTGTTCTAAAATACCCTTTAACTTTCAAAAGTTTTATTAATGCCCTTGAACTTTTTAAAAAAGTTCAAAAGTACCCTTACCGTTAATACCACGTATAAAATAACCATGAACTTTCTAAAGTAGAATTGATACCCTTAGCCTTAAACAAGTTCTTACTGTTAATATATGGACGTAAACTGTTTATCTACACCCTGTATAAAAATCTCCTTCAATTTCATCTCTCTCCTCTACTTCAACCTATGGCTCAACAATTTCTCGTTTTTCTCTTGATTCTTGAATATCCCTTATTCTCCTTCTTTTGTTCCTCAATCTTTAAAACTTCCCTCATTTCTCTTTTTTTCTCTTCTTAAATATCAAAACTCTAAATGAAAAGGAGAAGCTTTCTCATTGTTGAGCATTTCTAAACATAAATATGAAACATTAATACCCAAATAGGCAATTTGAAAACATATTGTCTATTTGGGTGATGAAAATTTTTGTGTTTATGTCTAGAAATGCTCACAAATGAGAGATTTCCACCAAAGTTTTGTTATTTAAAAAGAGTAAAAAAGAAAAGAAGGGGGTTAATTTTTAGAGATGGTGGAAAAGAAGGGGGTTAATAGGATATTCGAGAAGTGAGAAAGAAAAAAGAGAAATGAGAAATTGTTGAGCCAGGGTAAAAGCAAAGAAGAGAGAGACAATCAAAGAGGGAGATGATCTATGGGGGTGAAGATAAACTATTTTTGTTTATATATTAACTCTAGAAACTTATTAAAAAAAGTTTAAGTTAGGGTATTAATGCTACTTTTGAAAAAAGTGGTATTTTTGAAACATGATACTAACAGTTCTAGCCATGTTCCAACATTCCAACGATAAATGTATTTTTGAACTTTTTAAAAAAATTTATAGGTATTTCTTATGTTTTCAAAAAAGTTTAAGGGTATTAATGAAACTTTGGAAAGTTGAAGGATATTTTTTAAACAATTTTAAAAGTTCAAAGATATATTTGAAACAAAATACTGATAGTTGTCATCCAAAACTAATGGTAAGGGTATTTTTTTGACTTTGATTTTAGTTTAAAGGTATTATTGAAACTTTTAAAAGTTCAAAAGTATTTTGAGACAATGTGAAAAGTTGAGAGCATTTTTATTAATTTAGCCTAATATTTATAAGCAGCCCTATAAAATTCAGCATAGCATCCCTCTACTTCAGTAAAATGCTCTCAAACATCTGAATATTGTTTAGTAGGTTTTCTTGTCCTTGATAATCCTGCTTTACCACCAACAAGTGAATTAGGATATCACTTTCAACTTAACGAAGAGTTCGACTAGAATAACTTTGTTTAGAAGTCTCAGAGATGAAGCCATCCAAGGACAAAAATACAACCAACTCATGAGTACTCGATTTCTAGAGTTGCTAGAGTAAAAGGCTCGTGGGGTTTCTTAAGAAAGAAATCACTTCTTACTTAGTGTAAGCCAGAGCCTAAAACATTGTTAACACGGCTATATATGCAACTTTCTACTCGCACACATACACATGTATGAGATGATCTTTGGAAGCAGTAAAAGTGGAACCAAATTAGAACTTGAAAAGAAACAGACAAGCTAACAACAAACAAAACACACATAGAGCAAAACATTTGGATCTTAAGTACTAAACTGTAACAACCCAAACCCACCGCTAGCAGATATTGTCCGCTTTGACTCGTTACTATTGTTGTCAGCTTCACAATTTCAATACACGTCTGTTAGGAAGAGGTTTTTACACCTTATAAGGAATGGTTCGTTCTCCTCTCCAACCGACATGGGATCTCACAATCCAACCCCTTGGGGGTCAGCGTTCTCGCTGGCACACCCTCCGGTAGCTCTAATACCATTTGTAATAACCCAAACTCACCGATAGCAGATATTGTTCGTTTTGGCCCATTACGTATCCCTATCAGCCTCAGTGTTTTAAAACACGTCTATTAGGGTGAGGTTTCCACATCCTTATAAGAAATGCTTCGTTTTTGTCTCCCACCATCGTTGGATCTCACAAAAATGGAATCTAATTACTTCTAATAATGTACCCTTTAGCTGCCAATAAACTACCCAGATTAAGAAATGGAAGGAAGCAACCCAAATGCAATAGTAACATTAGTTTAACACAAACTAATGGCATCTCAGTTGTAAAACAGAGAGAAAGAGATCAGACAAACAATCCACGCACGTCATTGTTTGTGACTAATCCAGACAAACTTCTCATTCGCTGGATACTAAAACATCACAGGTAGACTAATCCATCATGGAGGAAAGTTTGTGACCAATTTCTCATTCGCGTGATACTAACATGTGAACAAAATCAGATCCACAAACAATGGATGTACTACAAGGTATGCGGCTTAGTAATGAGTTGTTTCAGAAATTCAGAATGCTCTGTTTCAAAAACAGTAAAAAATTGGTAAAAACAAAATTGTAAATACAAACAAGAACAAAGAAGAGAACACAGAATAGGAAAATAATGGATTTGTCCCAACAATCACTGTTCCTTCCTCCCCCTCTTCTTATTAAATCGGGGTTATAATGGGTTTTAAAGTGGGGTGGAATCCGAAGGGCAGACCAATTTATTCAAAAAGCCACCGGTGACCAGAAAACTAACCTTAACATCGTCGGAGACGGAAATTGAACGACATCGAGGCGATCACATGCGGAGAGAGGGAGCGATAACCACGGCGGCTACGCGCGCGCGCCTAAGCAAGGAGAGAGGGAGATCGAACGACGACGAGACGATAGTGCGATAGAATCGGTTCGGTTCTTAAACTCATTAAACCGTGAATTAATAATGATATTTAAAGTAATTATATCAATTCGCGCCACACTTGAAAATACATGTCCAAACTTATAGATATATCAATTAAAATTTTAAACCTTCTAAATCATATATTTAAAATAATTAATAATTTTTTTGAATTAAATGATGTTTTAACACATATCTAATAATTTAAAATCAACGTAACCCTAATTATCAATTTTTTAAATCTTAAAATATATCTAATTTTGCAAGGAAGTTTTGTCATCAAACCCAACATGTTTCATTAAAAAAAAAAAATAATAAATAAATAATAATAATAATAATGTTTCTCAAAATTTAAATGCATATAACTGGGCCAAATCCTTAGGCCCATGGGCTTCGTCTTAAGGTCTTGTTCTCTTGAACCAGCCCAATATCGGTGCCACGTGAATTCTCGTATTTACCCTCACAGCCCAATTTCAGTCGGCTACGCAACCAACCAGAAGTAGATCTCCGTGGAGGACACGTGGTATCATCAAGGACTCCTATAAATAAGATCCCAAAGCCTTCCTTTTTCGGAACCTTGAACCCTTGATCCGCATCGCATTACGCGTCGTAGGTCTGATAAAAGGCCCACAACAAAAGCGCCGTGAGAGACGAAGAGCGACTTCTTCAAGCCCTAGATCTGCTTCCTCTTCTCACTCGCGCCTCTTAGCTCGCTCTATCGTTCTCGTATTCCCTTTGATCTTCTTTCTCTCCGTTTCCCCAGGTATGTATTGGGGATTATTCACGATGTTTCTGATTTCGTTTTGATTGTGCTTTTAGGGTTTTTTTTTTTAAATTTTTTAATCTTTAGGGTTAAGGATGGTTTCCGACGCGAGCAAGAAGAAAGCGGCTCAGAAGAAGGCAGCTGCGGCGGCTAAGCGAGGAGGAAAAGCAGCGGCGGCCGCTTCTTCCAAGGCGGCATCTGCCGATTCGCAGAATGGAGTTGATAAGTTGGCGAATGGAGTTGACGCTCTTCAGTTATCTGATCGTACTTGTACTGGTGTGCTTTGCTCACATCCTCTCTCCAGGGACATCAGAGTAAGCCCTGATTTGGTTCCAGAATCAGAATCATGATATAGCTATTAATTCTTTTTTTTCAAGAAAAAAAGCCCTTGGCTATAATACCTGGATGAATATTTTAATTCACTTTTTTATACGTTTATGTTCCACTATGCAGTTTGCTTTTTTTTTTTTTTTTTAAATTTATTTATCATACTTACGTTGTCTTCGTCCGTGTTCTATTGCTTTAAACTTTGTTGGGAAAAAATAATTCTTCGTTGCATTGTTATTTTTCCTCAGCAGAACTCATTGGAACAGTTGTTTATCGATGAATCTTCTATTTGAGAATGCATTAGTAGGCTAGGTGACATCTAATCGTCTTCTAAATTATTCTTTAATTTTGAAAAGAACTGCTACTGGTTTATTTTTCTTGAGATCTCCTAGGACTATCCATTTTTTAGCATATGAATATTGAACTTTAGTCGTTCATATTCCTTGCTGGTGTACTTGGAAGTGATGTTGTGCTATTAGGGAAGTGTAAGTGATGACGCTGGTAATGTCCTTACATTCGTGCTTTTTGCAGATAGAGTCTTTATCAGTTACCTTTCATGGGCATGACCTTATCGTTGATTCTGAGCTGGAGCTCAACTATGGCAGGTTTGCTTGTAATAATGAGCTGGCATAAATAGTTCCTATTTCCACATTCATTCTTGTGCTTGATCTTCAATATTTACAAATTTTTTTCAGACGTTATGGTTTGCTTGGATTAAATGGATGTGGGAAATCTACACTTCTTTCGGCAATAGGTTGCCGAGAGCTTCCTATTCCAGAGCACATGGATATATATCACCTTACACGAGAGATTGAAGCTTCTGATATGTCTTCACTTGAAGCTATTATAAGTTGTGATGAGGAAAGGTTGCAGTTAGAGAAGGAGGCAGAAACTTTGGCTGCACAAGTATGTTGATTACAATAGTCTCTATGTTCTAAAGAATTTACTAGTGCTCATTATTCACTGTTCTATTTTAATTTAGGATGATGGAGGTGGAGAGCAACTTGATCGTATCTATGAACGTTTAGAAGCACTGGATGCAGCAACTGCAGAAAAACGTGCTGCTGAAATCCTGTATGGTCTTGGGTTTGACAAGCAGATGCAAGCTAAGAAAACCCGGGACTTCTCTGGTGGTTGGAGGATGAGGATTGCCTTGGCACGTGCCCTATTCATGAATCCCACTATCCTTCTACTGGATGAACCAACTAATCATCTAGGTATTAATGTTTCGTGCTTTCTTGTTTTGCTGATTGAGTGGTGGTGGTGAATTAATATCTTTTCAGTTATCACCCTATGAAAGAAATAAGTAGGTTTTGAGTTTTATAGTATTGATGTTGAACTTGGATTTGGATAATTAGTGCAAGTGCTTTGCTGGTACACCGATTGGCTGATCATTCTGGTTCTTGCTATTATCAATCTCACACCCTTTAGATTCCTTGGGGAACATACATACTGATCCAGTGAGCCCATTTCTAGGGAATACAAGCGTACTCCCTCTGCAGTGGATATATGTACTACTTCTAAATATACAAATAAATTAGCAAGAGCTGTGGAATTTAAGTGCAACCTTTTATTTGTTCCATTAATAATTTAGTATATCATTTCTGGCTTATTAATTGTTTTATTGCTGAAAATGAGGTATCTGATGGGCAACTGTTCTATTTTTTTATAATGATAGATCTGGAGGCTTGTGTCTGGCTAGAAGAGAACTTGAAGAAGTTTGACCGGATCCTGGTTGTGGTTTCGCATTCGCAGGACTTCCTTAACGGTGTGTGCACAAACATTATCCACATGCAGAACAGAAAATTGAAGATCTACACAGGTAACTATGATCAGTATGTTCAGACCCGTGCTGACCTGGAAGAAAACCAGATGAAAATGTACAAGTGGGAGCAGGATCAGATTGCTTCCATGAAGGAGTATATTGCCAGATTTGGGCACGGGTCAGCAAAACTAGCCCGGCAGGCACAGAGTAAGGAGAAAACACTGGCAAAGATGGAGAGGGGTGGGCTTACTGAAAAGGTGGTGAGAGACAAGGTTCTTGTCTTCCGCTTTGTTGATGTTGGAAAGCTTCCACCTCCTGTTCTTCAGTTTTCGGAAGCAACGTTCGGCTATACCCCTGATAATCTCATCTATACGAACCTTGACTTTGGAGTTGACTTGGACTCTCGGATAGCTTTGGTTGGACCTAATGGTGCCGGAAAGAGTACGCTGTTGAAGCTGATGACAGGGGACCTGGTTCCTCTGGAGGGCATGGTTAGACGACATAATCACCTTAGAATTGCCCAGTTTCATCAACATTTAACTGAGAAACTAGACATGGAAATGTCTGCTCTCCAGTTTATGATAAAAGAGTACCCAGGAAATGAGGAAGAGAAGATGAGAGGAGCAATTGGGAAGTTTGGGCTCTCCGGTAAAGCTCAAGTGATGCCAATGAAAAATTTGTCTGATGGGCAGAGGAGCCGTGTTATATTTGCCTGGTTAGCATGGAGACAACCCCACTTATTACTGCTTGATGAGCCCACTAATCATTTGGATATCGAGACAATTGACTCATTGGCAGAGGCATTGAATGAGTGGGATGGAGGTTTGGTTCTTGTAAGCCATGATTTTAGACTTATAAACCAAGTCGCCCAAGAGATATGGGTGTGTGAGAATCAAGCTGTAACCAGGTGGGAGGGTGACATTATGGACTTCAAGGCACATTTGAAGAAGAAGGCTGGGTTCTAATTGAAGCTGTATAACTCGTGAGTTTTCGTTATTATTGAAATCTACAGTGTAGACCATCGCTTAGGGTGTGTTGCTTAACTCCGCAGCTCGGCCAGCATGCGTGTGATGTGCTAACACAACAAGCCGAAGGTCTGAACACTGATGAGCTTGGTTATTGTTTCGAGCTAGCAATTTTAATGGGGCTAGTAGGTAATGTTTTTGCTTAATCATTATTAATTCATGTATCCTATATCTTTTAGTTGGTTTTTGAATCAACTAGATAGAGCCATATCCCATATTATTTTTAGACACCATGCGACTATGAACACAGACACTCTTATATTTTCGGTTTTTTTATTGAATGAAATATAATGATTGTCCCCTATTGGGGCATAATTGTGAGGTGTTCTTGCTGTTGATTAGTGTTCAAATAAATATAACTTGCATGATCTGCACTTTAGGAAGGGAATCTGAATTACTTGTAGAAATTGTTCCCTCTTTTTATGACTCTCCTAGCAGGAGAGAATTGGGGTCTTGTCTGGTCTGGCATGAGAGTTATTTTTTTTCCTGTTTACATTTGCGAGTGGTACCCTTTAGTAGTACCCATCCACTCGATCAAATACTCAGTTCACCCGAGGCTGATGCCCATACTGTTCCAATTTGGTGGGTTCTTCCCATTTTCTTTTAGTTTTGATGACTGTCAATTTATGTGCGTGTCTTGCTTACCAACTAAGCAAATTCCGAAGGCACCGACATGAATGCCATTCGCTGGTTGTACATAGGCCCCCTAACTGGTAATCTTAGGAAGGGAGACAAGGTCCTTGAAGCCTAGCCCACATGAGTCACATACCCATGATGTTGGCAGGGCCATCCTAGGGACCTAGGATTAACAAGATCTTGTTTAAGGAAAGGAAGAGGACATTATAATTCCTTTCTATCTTTAGTTTAGACAATGATTGTATGATCTTATGTTTCGATCTCTTGCAATTAAAGCTTGAGACAATTAACCGTTTATTTATCTACCAACTAAACTAAAACTAACCATAAATGGATTCGTATTCTAACTTTTAGGTCTGAAAACACACATTTATTTAATATTTAAATTCTTTGACACAATTTTTAAAGGGTTAAAAGAGGAGTAGAATCATAAAATAAAACACACCAAATTAAACACAACACAGTAGAAAAAATGAACATGTAATCAAATGACCACAAACTTTGATTGGCCATTCTCAAAATACCAATTTTTCCCTTGGTAAAATGTTTTACAATGCTGTGAAGAGCTTGAAGCTACGAAAAAAACAACCTTAATTTTGATCCTCTTGGTCGTTTCAATAGCTTCAAAACCCCACGTTATTGTTCCCCAAATCACACTATCCCTTAAAAGCAGCGATTCTCATTCTCCTCCTCCTCCTCCCATTCCTCTGCCAAGATCCTCTCGAGCTCGCTCGGTCGACACGGGATTGTCAGCGCACCCTCATGATCAAATCCATACTCCTCTGCTGCTGCCTCCAGAAGTCTCAAAAACGTCGGATTATTCAAGCAACTCAACGGAACAACAAATCGTTTCGGCTCCTCAGCATCAACTGCCACAACCGCGAAATGGCCTTCTTTGACATCCTCCGGTACCGGAGTCGAGTCGTCATCCCCAAGTTCATGATCGAACTCGTGTAGCCCAGAATTGGACCTTCGACCCAAGGAGAGGCTCCTCTGCAGCCTCCCAACAGCGGTCTTCAGCTTTACAATGCCATTCTTCTTGACACTGGCCTCAGGCTTAGCCATTTGGTGTAAATGCAAAAAGCTTAGTCCTTGTCAAGAGGGTGTGGAAACAATTTATAGTGTGGAATGGTCAAATAATTAAAAAAAAAGGATCAAAACAGTGGAAATTGATGGGATATTTCGCTCTTCCAAGAGGCCAAAAGTGATTGGACAGACACAAGTTTTGGAGTTGAGTTTGAAGAGCATACCATGTGAGTACACTACGTGACTCTAAGCATTCCATGAAACGTCTCGATTGGTAGTCACATCTGTCTCTAAATCATTATGTTTATGTTGAGACCCGTAAAAATGGATCATTGGTAAATAGGATAATCTAAATCCATTGAGAAGTGAAGGTAGAAAAAAGTACCAAATGTTTTGTACCAATAACATTTGCCATAAAACTTATGAACTGACCCATTTCATCATCAATGTGTCCTGTGCCTTGTGCTTGTGCTTGTGGCCTGTTCTTAATTGTCTCCCATTCCAATGGGGGTTTGATTTGGTCATTAACTACTCAACAGTTCGTGTAATAATTGATTAGGAACACTTGTTGAGAGAGATGGGGTTGGGCATTAATTAGTTTCTTTTATGTTTTTGCACTTCCACATACATCCAAACTATAATCTCATCCAATCGAGCGAAAGGTACATATAAACAACAGAGGATCAATCATAGGATCGTAATATTTAAATTTATTCAAAACTATTTGACATGCATCCATTTCATACCAAACTCTTTCGAAAAAACTTAAATTTTTAACATCGTTAAAGTGGAACTCGAATGATTAAATATAAGTATATTCGAAATGAAACAGTCGATCGAAAATATTCAAATGAGTGTTGAAGAACGTTTGTTGGAGTATCTTTTCTGAATTATGGTACATGCTTTTTAAGCTAACCATCTTGTAATTGAGTTAGGGGACAATGCAAAAGGACCTGTCAAGTTTTATTTAGTACTTTGCTAACTAATCATTATCATTTCTTTTTCTTTTAATTTTAATTTTTATTATATATATATATAAATAAATAAAATAGATTTTCATGAAATCTGGATCTGAAATATTTGAGTTGAGATGGGGTTAGATGGAGGGCGTGTGAGCATACATACACGTATAAATGCATACCTCAAAGTACAGACAATCCTTTGTACAACCACCTCTTTAACCATAACTTCCTCTCCTTTCTCACATATTTGGTCGGCTCTTCTGATCCAACTCGACCCTATTAGAGATGGTACATTTAACTTACGAAGCAGAAGTCCTATAAAAAATTACTCCGAACGAAGCAAGAAATCTTCATTTACAAAAGAAATAGTGAAGGAATGAAGTTCGAAACAGGGATCACTATTCCTGTCTTTACCCCAACTTGGTTAATTTAGTGAAAGATCATGGATTTATAAGTGAGGAATACTATCTTCATTGGTATGAGATCTTCTGGAGAAGCTCAAAGCAAAACTACGAGAGTTTACGCTAAAATTGGACAATATCATACCATTGCGAAGATCCGTGATCCATCTCCTCCTTCATTTTTCTTATAAAATATTATTAAATTTATTAAAAAGTTTTTATCTTTTATTAAATGAGAGACAAGAGGTCCTAGTACGCATTTATTGTTGTCTCACACCACACATGTCCCAACACTAATTATTAAGCCATTCCTTAAAAAAGAAAAAAAGAAAAAAAAAATACTCAGGTTTTTTCTCCTCAAAATAATTATACCAGTTTTTGTTTTTGTACTTTTTATTCTCAATTTCATGTCCCTTTCCTGTTACCATATAATTAATTAATTAATTAATGTTTTCCCTTCATTTTTTTTACTTTCCTTTTCTTTTAACTTTTTACTTTTTACTTCATTTTAACAGTTTACTTTATTCTATGTATATATATATATATATATATTCTCAACTTAATAATTGTACATTCAAATTGATTAATACTTTATATTAAATAAATAAAGAGTAAAGTCATCCAAAAGTAGAAATACATTCGCACATCTTAAATTTTATTTTATTTTTTCTCGTAAAGTTGATTTGACACAAAATAAACCAATTCTTTTCTATTTATTTATTTATTTATTGAAGCGTTTTTGTTTCTTTACCACTTGCTCCCTATGATTCTCATATTTTGAGTAAATATCACATTTCTTAACCAAATTCTAGAATAAGTATCGTTCAACGACCAAAATATGAAAAGTTAAAGCCTCTTTCGATAACTCTCTTTTGTTTAAAAGTTTTGTTTTGGATATTTAGGAATAAAATGTCCAAAACGTCACATTATTACTATGGTTAATTATTTTATTTTTATTAAATCAACCTATTAAAATAATTTGAGCTTTTGAGTTTATTTTAGGATCAATTTTAATAATTATCCTTAAATTACTAATTTTAATAAAAATTATATAATTATCCTCGATAGATTATATTAAATGAGATATATTTATTAATGTTATACATCCTAAAATGATTCAAAAAAATTATGTATAAAATTATTATTGCAATAGATATTTAATTAATTTTTGTTCATTATAATTTAATCAAAATTAGATTCAATAAATAATCAAATAAGTAACATAATTATTGAAGATCATAAGCTAATTGGTCCTAAATAACTTTTTAATTTTACTTATTTTCAGCTGATCAATTAATAATTTTAGTAAATATGTATTTGATTTATTTAATAAAAAAAATTCATCAAAATAAACAAAATATATATTTAAATTTAATAATAGTAATAATTGAGTTGATTCAAAATAAAATAAATTAAGAGAGGAGTAAAAAGAAGAATGATGCCAATCAGGGTGAAATGTATATGGATTTATTACATAGATTCTATATATTCTAGAAGCTAATTTTAGTGAGTCTAAGCTTTGGTTACCAATTATATTATACACCAAAACTTTAGGATAAGAGATAAATAAAATAAAGGCATCACAAAGCGAAGCTCATAGCCTATAAATAATACATAGGAAATATACACAAAGACATCTTGGTCTTCTTCCACATCTGGTAATCAAACAGCAATCTTTGTCTGGTTTTGTTCATTCGATGTGTACTATGTTTACAGAAGCCTCGGGGTTTAAGCTCAGAAAACATTACTTCTTCTTGTTGTTCTTTATTTTATATGCATTTATCCTTTAATTTCTGTACTAAATTTCAATGTCCTGAATGTTTGTCCGAAATTGAAGGCTAATCCATTCATTTTTTTAGGTTCATTTCTGGGGTCAACTTTGTGCTTCGCGACGTCTAAAAGATATAAACTCGGGTTGTTGTGATTTACGTGCTATCCTAATTCTGTCCTAATTGCCAAAATGGAGCGCCAAAATCCCCATGCCATTATTATTCCCTACCCTTTGCAAGGCCACGTCATACCGTCTGTCCACCTGGCAACTGACCTCGCCCAACGTGGCTTCACCGTCACCTTCGTGAACACGCAAGCCATCCACCGCCAAATCGCCAAAGCCCATTCGCCTGCCGGAGATGATTTGTTTTCCGCCGTGCGGAAGTCGGGGTTGGATGTCCGCTACCGAACCGTGTCGGATGGACTACCGGTTGGATTCGACCGGTCGCTGAATCACGACCAGTTCATGGAGTCGTTGTTGCATGTGTTTTCGGCTCACGTGGAGGAGGAGGTCGAGAGCATTGTGAAAACGGCGTCGTCTGAAGAGGGAGGGCCGCCGGTGAGTTGTCTGATAGCGGATACCTTCTTTGTGTGGCCGTCGAAGGTTGCGAGGAAGTTTGATCTGCTTTATGTTTCGTTCTGGACCGAACCGGCGTTGGTTTTTACGCTCTATTATCATATGAATCTTCTCCGACAAAACCGCCATTTTGCATGCCCGGGTTGGTTCGCTCATACCCAATCATTTGAGTTTTGATTTGGGTTAACTTGAATTTGAATTTGAATTTGAATGTGAATTTGAACAGAGGTTCGAGAGGATGCCATTGATTACATACCAGGAGTACGCGCAATCAATCCACAGGACATGATGTCGTATTTACAAGACACAGATACGACGTCGGTTTGCCACCGAATCATTTTCGCAGCGTTTGAGGATGTTAGAGCTGCAGATTTCGTGATATGCAACTCCGTACATGAGCTCGAGAACGACACCGTTTCAGCCCTACAAGCCGAAACCCGGTTCTACACCATCGGACCTATTTTCCCACCTGGCTACACCAAAAACTCCGTCGCAACCAGCCTCTGGCCCGAGTCCGACTGTACCCACTGGCTCAACTCCAAACCCCACGGCTCGGTCCTCTACGTCTCGTGTGGAAGCTACGCCCACGTCACCAAAACGGACCTCACAGAAATAGCCCATGGGCTTTCGATGAGTGGGGTCCATTTCATATGGGTGCTCCGACCGGATATTGTCAGCTCAACAGACACCGATCCATTGCCGGATGGTTACCGGAAGGAGGTTTCTGACCGTTCGATGATTGTGCCATGGTGTCATCAGAGACAAGTGCTGTCCCACCCGGCGATCGGAGGGTTCTTAACTCACTGTGGATGGAATTCAATTCTGGAAAGCATTTGGTGTAATGTTCCGCTGTTGTGCTTTCCTTTGCTTACGGATCAGTTCACCAATCGGAAACTGGTGGTGGAAGATTGGAAGGTCGGGATTAATCTGAGAGATGGACGGCAGATATCTAAGGAAAGGATTTCGGAGAAGATTAACCATCTGATGGATGCTAAATCTGGGAGTCAATATCGAGCTGCCGTTGGAGAAGTCAAGAAGGCATTGGAAAATGCAGTGAAGCCTAATGGTTCATCCCATCAATCTATGAACCAATTCATAAAAGATTTCAACGCAGCCATTTCAGACAAATTTGGGGACAAAAAGATGCACAAATCAATGTCCAATGGCTACTAAATTTAGAGCATTTCGGCCCCGAGGCCTGAAATTGTCTTTCCTCCTCTTTCACGAGTGAGCGATAGGTAAAGTTGTGTTAATAGGGTCATTAGATTGAACCCTCAAATATGATGTAATCCAAAGGCTAAATTAATAAACACGTCCTACAAACCGAACTCTAAAAGTCTAAACTACGAGCTAAGAAGATAAGAAGTATTTGCATCTTTTAACAGTTCAAAAAATGCAAGAACAATATCTACCCATCAACAATCATTTACTTGGTGAAGAAGTTAAATGCTTCTGCTCTAACTTCATAAACAATTTGTACCGATGGACTAGTTCTATTGAATGATTTCGATGTATATGCATAACTAAGGCACGCTACTTCCTCTTCTATGAACCGGTTTGTAAAGCACAACCGTGACATATTTTGAATGAAAACGATGAGTGAATCCAAGAGCCACAACGGAGCGTGGAGTCTCCCGGTTTTCGATAAAAAGATGGTTGAGAACCACATTCTGTGGCAAAGGAAGAGTTCCACCAGCATCTCGGCTCGCTGGGTGGCTGAGTAAGGTGTGCTGCAAATGAGGCGGGACGGGTGGTGGATCGCGTGCGTCGTCTTCGCTTCCAAGGTATACATTGTTATAGGTTGAATCGGGTGATTTTGGAACTTCAAAACCCACTACGGTGGTCTGATCCTGTAGAAAGGATTCATGTTTTAAAAACCCCATTTGGTGTAATTAGAAGATGAACACAACTAGGATTAGCAGCTTACGCTATCTTCAGGGAAAGGGTTGTTCATGTTGAAGTGAAAACTTCCAAGCTAACAGAAGAAACTCATCAATTGTAGAAAATTATAAACTGGAAACCTGAAAAGAACACGATTCAGTGAGTATTTACATAAAACTTCGTATAATACTGTACGATCTTGAAGTTCTGGTCTAACTACCTTCAAATCAATCAAGGATATAGTTGGACAGATATAAGCCTGCAATGAATGTTAACCAATATGACATTTCATTCTCCTAACGCGACTAATCAGAAACCTGAAGAGGATGGGCTCCGGTTAGAGGTCAAGACAAGTTACATTCAAATATGAAGTCATGCAGCACGGTCATGCTCGACGCAGCCAATGGGAACTTACTGAGACACCGACGAAACTATTGAGAAATCCCATTATTGCTTCTTTTGCGTGTTCCATCAGGTATGTCGATCAAACTTTAAACTTTAGGTCCAAGATTATACAGTGGAAAAATCTCTTAAACGTTCCACGAGTTTCCAGATTAGCAAATGTTGAGTCAAATCATATTCTCTGTTGAAATATCATCACTAGCTCAATAGAGTCAAGCCCAATAATTGTACTAGCCCAATAGAGTCAAGCCCAATAATTGTACGAGCCCAGTATATTTATTTTAGTAGAGATTTTAGGAGAAAGAGATCTAAATATTTTAGGAGAAAGATTTAGATTTGTTAGGTCTAGATTTAGATTGGTTAAATATAGATGGTTTAGGTTCAGTATAAATACCCCACCCTACCTAGGTTATTCATCCAAGAAATCTAAAAAAACAATAAAAAGCAGAAGTATTCTACAGAGTGTCTTGTATTCTCTTCTCGATTGGTCTTAATAAAGAGAGCGAGTGTTTCCCACAGTGAGTTGTGTTCAACATTTGGTATCAGAGCGAGGTTAGTGTAGGTTATCTGATCTCTTGGAATCCTTAGTATGCTCTGTGGTTGCAGCTCTGTCTGATCTTCCACATCAGAAACGATTTCTTGAGTTTAGTGGTGAGTGAGTTTCTTTTGTGTCGTGAGAAGTCTGTGACTCTGCAAGTCTTGTGTCAAAAGAACTTGTTTGGTATTACTGAGGTATGACCAACACGATGGGTGATTTCCAAATCGTTGGAGGAATCAAGAAACTCAACAACAACAACTACAACACGTGGGCAACATGCATGATGTCCTATTTACAAGGACAAGATCTTTGGGAGATCGTTGGTGGGTGTGAAACTACGCCGCCAGAGGAGGATTCTAACGACGCCTTGCGCAAATGGAGAATCAAAGCAGGCAAAGCAATGTTTGCCTTGAAGACCACCATCGGAGAAGAGATGTTAGAACATATTTGGGATGACAAGACACCGAAAGAAGCATGGGACACGTTCGTGATGTTGTTCTCAAAGAAGAACGATACGAGGCTACAACTTCTGGAGAATGAGTTGTTGTCAATTTCACAACGTGATATGACGATTGCTCAGTACTTCCACAAGGTCAAATCGATCTGTCGGGAGATTACTGAACTAGACCCAAAGTCCGCCATTGTAGAATCTCGAATGAAGAGGATTATAATCCACGGATTGCGACCGGAATATCGAAGCTTCATTGCTGCTGTACAAGGATGGCCCACTCAACCAACACTGGTAGAGTTCGAAAATTTGTTAGCCAGCCAAGAAGCCATGGCTAAACAAATGGGAGGCTTCACATTGAAGGGTGAAGAAGAAGCACTCTACACGAGTGAAAGTCGGAGCAATAATAGGCCGTCTACCAAACGTGGATACAATGGTGACAAAAGAAGAAGCCACCAAGGAACTGCACAACCTGAGAGAGCTGAGAAGAACGACAACAAGAGTTTCCAAGGAAAGAGATTTGAAGGTATTTGCTATAATTGCAGGAAAAAGGGCCACATGTCTAGAGATTGTTGGTCCAGGAAAAAGTCGGTTGAAAGCAATGTGGCAATATCCAAAAAGAAGATAGAGGATGAATGGGATGCAGAGGTGCTATGTCCAACAGTAGAAGACGAGCTAGCACTCATGGCAATGATGGAAGAGCATATCGATTATGAGGATGACTGGATTATTGATTCCAGATGCTTAAACCACATGATTGACGATCAAAGTGGTGCAATGGAAGATGGGTGGCCCTTAGAGAAGGAAGTATTACCTCACCTTGAGCAAATTGAAGAAATTCTTCTACAGAACACGAGGGAGCAAACTGAAGACATTCTTCTCCAGGACATGGGGGAGCAAACTGAAGACATTCTTCTGGACATGGGGGAGCAAATTGAAGAAATTCTTCTCCAGAACATAGGGGAGCAAACTGAAGAGATTCTTCCACAAAAGACGGTGGAGCAAATTGTGCACATTTGCTTAAGTGCTGATATGCCTGAAGATTCAAGTGACACTAGTGTTGGTGAGCAAGAAGTGACTCAACCAAGCGAGCCTAGTGAAAATGAAATGACACCTCAACAACTCAGACATTCAGAAATAATCCTAAAGGCAAATCCAGAGTGTGCCAACGCAGTAGAAGACGAAGTTAATGAGCCGGAGACATATGAAGAAGCATCACAAAACTCAGCTTGGCAGAAAGCGATGGAGGAAGAAACTATAGCCCTGGAACAAAATCAGACTTGGGAATTAGTGCCAAGACCAAGAGATACCAAACTCATCTCTTGCAAGTGGGCTTACGAAATAATGTGTACCCCGGATGGATCAATCGTGAGATACAAAGCTCAGACTATAGATTCAGGGTTCTCTAAAGAATATGGACTAGACTATGATGAAACGTTTAGTCCAATGGCAAAGATCATTATCGTACAAGTTCCTCCAGTACTTACGGTAAATAAAGATTGGAAATTATGGCAGATGGATATGAATAATGCTTTCTTGCATGGAGAGTTAAACAGAGAGTTCTACATGAACCAATCGAAGAAATTCGAAAATAAAGTTGGTGTCATTGATCAATATATGCAAAATCCGAAGAAGGCTCATTTGGATGCGTCTCGACGAACCTTGAGATATGTCAAAGGTACAATCAATTACGATCGTTTATACAAAAGAAGCAAAGACTGGAAGCTAGCTGGATATAGTGATGCTGACTATGCAGGAGACCATGATACTTGGAGGCCAACCACTGGGTATGTGTTCAAGTTTGGTTCGGGAACAATTTCTTGGTGTAGCAAGAGACAACCAACAGTATCATTATCAACTACAGAAGCAGAGTATAGAGCAGCTCAGGAAAATACATGGTTAAAACTTTTGATGGAAGATTGGCACCAGAAAATTGAGTATCCAATACCACTTCATTGCGACAACCAATCTGCGATTCGCCTAGCAGAAAATCCGGTGTTTCGTGCTAGAACAAAGCTTGTGGAGGTGCACTACCATTTCATTAGAGAGAAGGTCCTAAAGGAAGAAATCGAGATGCAGCAGATCAAGACAGATGACCAAGTAGCAGACTTGTTTACAAAAGGGCTGAATATTGGCAAACGTGAGAGCTTTCACTGTCAGCTCAACATGATGCAGCGAATGAGGACTAGTGCTGAGGGGGAGTGTTGAAATATCATCACTAGCTCAATAGAGTCAAGCCCAATAATTGTACTAGCCCAATAGAGTCAAGCCCAATAATTGTACGAGCCCAGTATATTTATTTTAGTAGAGATTTTAGGAGAAAGAGATCTAAATATTTTAGGAGAAAGATTTAGATTTGTTAGGTCTAGATTTAGATTGGTTAAATATAGATGGTTTAGGTTCAGTATAAATACCCCACCCTACCTAGGTTATTCATCCAAGAAATCTAAAAAAACAATAAAAAGCAGAAGTATTCTACAGAGTGTCTTGTATTCTCTTCTCGATTGGTCTTAATAAAGAGAGCGAGTGTTTCCCACAGTGAGTTGTGTTCAACATTCTCTAGTTTCAAGTTCAATAGAAAATCGACAGAATGGAATTTGGGAATAACGGGACGATGTTAATCTTGATGCCTTCAGAGATCTTCTTCCAGAGTGCTTTGTAACGATTCTCCTTTAATCACTAAATAACAATCACTCTCGTGGCCCGAGCGTAGGAATTTGTTGTTGGACTGCTAATCCTTCTTAAGATTTTACCTGTATTCCTTCTCTTTTGTGTGAATCTCACCCTACACTCCCTCGCTGTTCTACTCGCTTTGGAAGGTGAGAGTCCAAAGGTCACAACTTTCCCCTGGCGTGGCTCTCACATGAGGATGGACACTATTGACCAATAGCAAAGATTGTCTTCAAAGGATATGGTTTGTAATGGCCCAAGCCCACCGCCAGTAGATATTGTCCTCTCTGGGTTTTCCCTTTCAGCGTTCCTCTCAAAGTTTTTAGAACGCGTCTACTAGGGAGAAGTTTCTACATTCTTATAAAAAATGGTTTGTTCTCCTCCCCAACCGATGTGGGATCTTACATGGTACATGTTGTTTTGGGATGGCAATTTGTTTCTAAGAGCAATTAAAGGCTTTTGTTTCTTACGGAGAGCAGATGTCTCGTAGCCTTTGCTAGTCTACGACGGTGAAGGGTCGGTGTTGTTTCACGTTTCTCCCTTTCCTTGGGATTGGGGACGGCACTATGGCAAGTTACTCATAGATGTGCATCGTAGGAGAAGGACAGGGCATTCCCTTAAGATTTGAATAACTAAGGATTTAGTGTTCTTCTATACCACTAGAAATAGAGCTACAATACAAACAAAACAAACATTGGAGAACCAAGTTGTCGAATACTTCAATATAACATCCAACAGTAGCGTTTTTTAAGCAGACAGACATTAAAAAAGACATAGTTAAGTTCAATTGCTTTGATCAATGATAGGCGTGCGTGCTATTGGGTCAAGTAGTACTTATATATATATAAAGAGTATCAAGAGCATTGTTCCTTCCTGTACTTCCAATAATTACAGGCCCGCTCAATGCCACAGTTTGGCTGTATCCAGCTTCCAATTCAACGGTACAGATTACCAAGATAATGCAATAGAAATAAACAGAATCAGATTGTGACCCTTAAGACAAAAATCAATTTATGACAGAGAAAAACACATCATAAGAGTAAGCATATACATAACATCAAATGAGCATCGGCTGCAGACGTCCAGAACCCCAAAAGAGAAGAAGAAACAAAAAGGGTAAGCCAAAAAACAGAACCTCATAGGCGCTACTGTACTACTAAGTAAAATTGAAAAGAAAATCAAAGATTGCAGCTCAAGAAGGAGATTAACCTGGATGATTACAGATTTTGACCCTTCAACTATCCACCAAAAAGCTCCAGAGAAAGCCCAGACCGAAACCCAGAAACGAGAAGACAATGGAACAATAATCGAATTCGCAAAGCTCAAACTTACCTGCAACAAATTATAAGCAATCCATCAAATGATTCAGTCAAATAAGAACAACATTGGGCAATTTGAACTCGGGAAAATTAGGACAGAAGAATCTAAAATTTGAAGAAGCAACAGAGAAAGTTGAGGCAGGGAAAATTGAAGAAGCTGAAATAGAAAAAACCCCTGGAGAAGAGAGAGAAGGAAGGTTAAAAGAGAGATACATACAGGAAAAGGAGAGGCAATGAAGAAATGAAGAAGAAGAAGAAGAAGAAGAAGAAGAAGGCAAAGGGGACCAACACAGAGACTGCCTCCCTAAACGAATCCACGAAAGGGAATCCGAACCAACTCCTTATTTGGAGCACGCGTATGCTCTTCCCCAATATATTCATCTCTCTCTTAAAATGGAATTTAATCTTTTGGGCTTGGCCCATCCTTCAGCCCATTACCTTATCCTATCTTTGGGCTTTGGGCTCTGGGCTTAGGCCCATCCTTTGAAGATGGAATTGATGATTTTGGGCTTGGCCCATCCTTTATGCATAACATCAGCCCAGGCCTCCTCCTATCTTTGGGCTTTGGGCTTTGGGTTCTGGGCTTAGGCCCATCCTTAAAAATGGAATGGAAGCTTTTGGGCTTGGCCCATCCTTCACGCATAACATCAGCCCATGGCCTCCTCCTATCTTTGGGCTTTGGGCTTTGGACTTAGGCTCATCATTCAGCCATTCTCGCAATGTTTTCTTTTATTTTTAAATTATTAATATATCCAGTTGACCGTTGCATTAGATGCGGTACTCATGTGACAATTATATACAATTTAATGTTGTATAGTTTTATACTCATGCACATTATGCTTCCTTCATATTATTTTACAATAAAATATTTAATTATCTATCGAAAAAATCACTTTCTTAGTTTCGGGATCAACGTACCATGAAGGTCCCCTACTTTATACTCCATTATTACAAAAACGTCACGCTTTTTTTAAGTACATTTTTTATCCATATAATTCAAATATCTTTTTTTAATATATAGTTTAATCATTTGAGAATTTTAAATTGGTAAGTTAAAAAAAAAAAAAAAAAAAACTTAAATCAGAGAATAATCTTGTTATTAAATAAAAAGAAAAATAATAAATTAATAAATAAAAGAGCGAGGAAAATGGGAAAGCGGCGTTGAAGTGGGCACATCACATGTACGGACATGGACCCGGCGGTTCGGGTGGAGGCGTTGTGGTGCAGAGGAATCTGTCAGTCTTCCTTCCCTTTTATTTATTCCATCATTATTTTCTACCCTAAATTTTATTGTATTAATATTACCCAAAACTATATTATAAATTCATTTATAAATATACTTTACATTTAAACCACATTTATTAGCATGCTTAAGTTACGAAGGCAAAAGGTTGAATACAATTTTTTTTTTTAAATATTTGTTGGCAATTTAATCATTTTGAATTGTATTCTATCTTTTTATAATAAGAATTATTAAAAATTTCACATGCATGTGCATCATAAATGGCAATATGCCAAATATAGAAAAGGTATTTTAGTTTATACCCTATTTTCCCTTACATTTGTTTTATATTTTAACTAAATTTCAAAACAAAACCTGTTTTTAAAAAATTATTTATAAATTTTGGTTTGATTTTTTAAAAAATAAGTGAAAGTCATGTTTAAAGGCTTTGTGCATGAGTGAAATTGGATCGTATGAATAACTCCGAGAAATCAAAGGTCAAACGATTAAAAAAAAAAGCCAAACACAAACTATAATAGACCAAATAAAAATATAGAAGGAAAACTAGCTTCCTTTGACCTAATTAAAAACGAGGGAACGAAAATCATATATTTCAAAGATTATTTATAGTTTAATTGGGTAAAATATTACTGATTCAACTTTTTATCTTTTAACTTTTAAAAAAATTAGTATATTTAAAAGTAATTTTGATTTTTTTTTTTTTTTGAAAAATGTTATTTCTATAACCCTAAATGTGATTTCTAAGCCAAGAAGAAGATTGAATTACTGCTTTTTAATGTTTCAAAATAATAATATATATATATATATATATATATATATATATATTTTATCTTCCTTATATCATCAACTAAAAAATAAAAAATTTAATGTTTGAAAAAAAAAATTGAAAAACAATGGTCATTAAATTCTGAAAAAAGAAGAAAATAGTTGAAAAAAAAATGAAGAGATAAGCTTAGGAGCATTATGATTAGTTTAATTTGGATTCTAAAAAGAATTAGTGTAAGCCAATCCCACGTGATGAAGACGGTGATGATACGAGGAAAACTTGGAAATTAAAAATAAAAATAAATAAAGAAAAATAGATTAGGGTTTGTGGTATAATGACAGTAGTATACAGCGAAGCAAGAGAAGGACCAATAAAAATGCTCCAGGTGTGTGAAGCATTGACAAGTGACCAATAATCAATTGCCATTATATACATACCCAAACCCCTCTCCTTCTCTTCAACCTTCCTCCCTTCTTCTTCTCTTTCGTTTTGTGTTTGTGTTTGTTCGTGAATGACAGTCGTTGGTTGCTGGTGTAGCATTATCAAGATTCACATTCAAATGAAATTCTCCACATTTCTTTGCAATTGAGAATCTTGATGATGCTGCATCTGCAATAAACCACTTTGAATATGATATGCATATATTTCATGTTCCATCTCACAGTTCATGCTTTTTTCTTCCTCTTTAGTTCATAATATCTTCTGGGTTTTCTTTTAATTCTCTTTAATCAGCTTATTGTCGTTGTTCTTAGTCTTCAGATTCCAGATCTGACTGCTCAGCCAACTTCTTTCTTTTTTCTTGTTTTTGTCTCGTTTTGAGTAGCAGCCAACAGATTCTCAAGAGATGAAGCTCCAACAACCCCACAAAAACATGTCCCAAATGGAGGTTTTTATTTTTTTTTACTGTAACGGGGTATGTAGTTGCTTATGATATTGTCTGTTTTGAGTATAAGCTCTCGTAAGGGATGTATTCATTAATTCAACCGTTATAGCTTGAGATGCGGTTGGGGGAGTTGAGTTGAAAAGTAGAGAAACAAGAAATGATCCGAAAGAGTATATCTGTGTGTCAGTCAGTGGACGTTGAGGTTTAGCGTTCATAATCCATCACTCTTGTTGTGTTTGTTGGTGGACCAATTGGCACGAGACATGCCTGTAATTAGGACCCCTTCTTCTGCCTTTTGTATCTGTAAACACTGACAGTGATGCTTCAGGAATGCCCACTCGCCCGCCTCTCTCACTGACAGTGACAGTGATCGCTCAGGATTATTGGGAGTGAGTCTTCTATTCGTTAATTTAGTAATGGAAGATCATGAGTTTATAAGTAGAGAATACTATCTTCGTTTGTAAGAAAATTTTTGAAATGCCCAAAGCAAAATCACGAGAACATTAAAGTGAAAAATAGCATATTAAAGTAGATATGTTATGAATGTTATTGTAATTTGAATGAACAACACAATGTCTTCTCTTCTTGACATTTCGTCTCTATAATCAAAATTATAATACTATACGTTTACGAGCGTTATTTTATTTTATATATATATATATATATATATATATAGTTTGATGCTAGGTATTGAAGTTGACAAACTCAAATGGATGACGGTGTGTTGGATACCCTTTTTTTAATTTTTAAAATTTAAAAAAATTATGGAAAATATTTAAATCATCCATGAAACCAGAAAAATCAAGAGTACACGTCATATTTAGGGTTGCGAGTCTTGTGTTGAGATATAAATATAAATACGAAATTAAAAGAAAATTTTGAAAATGTGGCGGAGGAAGAGGATGACAGTGGGGGCTAAAAATAGTACAAAGGTGGGGCCCATGTGAGAATGATTGATACACATGTGGCAGACACGCAAGGGAAGGGAGGGACCCACCTCCACCTCAGCATTCCACCCTTCACATTTTTTCATAACCTAAATGAAACAAATGGACGTCATCTCATCTCTTTACACATTTACCATTCATTTTATTTATTGTTTGTTAGTCATTATGTTGAGTTTTCCAAACAAAAATTGAGCTATGCAAAGGGTATATTAGTAATTAGGCAAACATGTTTTAGTCGTTTAACTAGAGTAAATTTGATCTATAAGTGAGAATTTGTATTTGTATGATGAATTCGAAGTTGTTTATCCCAAATGCAAGTATGAGAGGCATAATCAGGCATGGGGTCTAAGGAAGGCGGATTTTATATCTACAGTGCTCTTGTTGAGTTTGATATATCGAACACGATCGATGCAAAGTTGTATCCGGTACTCACTATCACTGCACTTTGTATCGTCCCGTCACATCTTATCTTGTACAAGATAAGCTATTATGCATGATTGACAAGTTACACAAGAGGTAGCAAGCAAAAGTTAGCCTACCATCATGACCTTACTATAGTTATCTATACAAGAGGAAGGTCAAAACTCCACCAAAAACACAATATTCAAGTGGATCTACATTTCATTTACTATGATCTACATTTCATTTACTATGTTAGCATCATTTTATGTCATTGGAATTTATAAGTATTTTAACGATATGTATTTATAAACACAAATTATAGCGTGAATAAGGGATTCAACTTAAAGATAGTCAGGAAAATCTTGTGGGAGAAGCTACGTGTAACAGTCCAAGCCTACCGCTAGTTGATATTGTGTTTTTGGGCTTCTACTCACCGTTCTAAAATGGTTTAAAGTTTTTCATACATTTACCAGGAATGTTTCATTCTCTCTCCAACAAATATGGGATCTCATAATCTTCTCTCCAACCAATCAAGGATCTCATAATCCATCTCTCTTAGGGGAGCAAACGTCCTTGTTGGCACATCACTTGATAATTGCTTCTGATATCATTTGTAACCGCTTAAGCCCACCACTAGCGGATATTATTTTTTTTTGGGCTTTTACTTACGAGCTTTCTCTCAAGGTTTTAAAATGCATATACTAAGGAGAGGATTTAACCCTCCGACTAGCTCACACAGTCTGACTCCTATATTATTTGTAACTGACCAAGCCCACCGCTAACAAATACTATGGAACTTTACCTCAAAGTTAGGCCGATAGTGTGGAAGGAGTTTCATAGCAGAGATCATCCTGTGAAGAAAGTTATTGGAGGTATAAATAAATTTTCTTTATAATTTTGTTCTACTTCTTGGCGATTGGCCGCTAAAGGTGGAAGAAGCCAAAGGAGTTTTATAGTTGGCTTTCCCTCGATTCTGAACCAAAAATCTGAAACATCCACAACGTCAGTTCAAAACCACCTCAAAACCCTCAAAAGCAGTCGAAGCCAATCGTCAATCCAATCCCTCCTCGAAACCACTGTTGGTAATCATTTCAACAATCTTAGCTCCGGCGCCATTCGACTCCACCCCCATGGGATTAAGATCGATGAGAAGGCCTGTACTGTCCATTACTAGCTCTTAAACGATTTGATCAGATGCATTTAACATTGTTACATTCTACGTGATGGTTATTGTTGTACCAAGCGATGGAATTTTGAGGAGTTTGGATCTGATATTGCTTTTGATGGGTAAGGCTGAGAAATGAGTGATGAAAGATGCATGGTGAGTGCTTGACGGTGGAACCCCATTTGTATCATCTAATTATCTGAGGTAGGGACGATCCGAAGTGCATGTTTATCGTTCGACAAAATGACAGAGAGAAGTAGTGCCCCAAATTCTAATAGATACTGACTACTTACCGATGGTCTCTACAAGGAAGGAGATATGGGGTTGGCTTGTAGCAAAATTCGAATTAGAGCTCCCCTTTTTTCATTGTATTACCTTGTTTCATTCTCAAAATTACTGCTTGGCTCGAAACTAAACAGAAAATTCATGCATCAAATGAGATTATTTAGCAGCAACTGGGCTAATAAAAAAGTATTATGTTCCAACGAATCCTACAAAACTGTTAATCCCGATGTGGAAACATGCAATTTAATTCAGTAGATAAGATGGACCACCCCCTCTGCCTGTATGGTTGTGACATATGAGAAAGATGTGGGACTACAGGACCCGATTAAGTTAAATGCCAAGTGGTGAGAACAAGAAACAACGTGAAAAATAATAGATACCCAGAATGTGATGTCAATGTGAAATGGAATTAGAATCAAAAGATGCCAGAGCAAGGACGTCGTACCAAAATTCTCTCGCCAGAAAGATGGCTGTTCCCGGATATCCTAAAAGCTGGGACTCCCTGGCTCTTGAGCACTCATCTGGGTTTTAACCACTACTTCCTCAGTTGTTATACAACGACTCAGCAGCCACAAGCACCAAGCTACAGGTCCTGAGGAGGTCAATGGCACCCCAGGTAACTTCTATATACATTAGCCTTTTGTTTTAAGCAGTATAGTCATTTGTACCTAATATAGATCTGGATATATGTATACATACTCAAAAGGAACGCTACAACACGAAGCAAGTCCATTACAAGGAGCACCACTCTGTACATTTTTTTAACCCAGGGGTGCGGTGTGTTTATACCCGCATAGTCTTAAGCTAATTCCAGTAAAGACGAGATCATCGAGAGAACAATAAAGAAACAAAAAACTAAAAGCTATGCAAAATTCTTGAGCTACACCTGAGGAGCTCCAGATAGTATGGGACCATCGATGGCTGAACCTTGCTTTCTCACGGCTGGAATGCTAAGGGAACGTTTTTTCATTTTCAAAGAACCAGAAGTTCGTACATTCCTTTCTTTCTCCTTCATATGAGAAGAATATAAGCAGAGTGACTTAGATGACTCACTTTTAGAGCGCAGGAAGTGGTCTAGGTTCTGGCGATACTTATCAACTGCCCGAGCACTCATTTGCCCCTTAGAAACAGATCCAGCCTTTTCCATATACTCATTGTCATCACCACCCGACCAGGAACCATCATTCATGTCCAGCATTGCCAGATCATCATATTCTTCATCTGATTTTGTCGACTCTTCATCAACAGAGCCTTCCTGTGGGCCAAAAGAATAAAATACTCAGATCTTTCAGTAATCCATACTGATCCTTGCAGGAATTCTTCTGAAATATGAAGCAGAATACTAACCAACAGTGATAAATACGAACCGGTGCCAAAACAAGGTATAAAGTGCATGACATTGTTAAACAGATTATATTGAATACTCATGAAGCAAGAACAGTCCCCTTGGATAACTCAAATCAGTGCAGAGGACTGCTTTGAACCATATTTAACAATATTTCTTGTACGCAGAACTAGACAATACCTCCTCATGAATCTCAATGTCACCATCTTCACTAAAGTCTTCATCGCTGCCAAGCTCTTGAGGATCATCGGCCTCTTCATCACTCCCATGCACTGAGATATCTTCCTTAAGCTGAAAGGGAATAACGGACCATCAAATCTAAGCAGAAATTGGCATTCTACCGACTACCACCAAAGAGATATGATGGGAAGAAAATAAAATTAAAGGAAATATACAGAGCACATATACGGCTTGAATGTTAGCTTTTAAATTTCCACAACTACTGTGTACTGTGCGTCGGGAAGAAAAATAATTGAGAGGAAATGCACTTCTAAACAAAATAAAAAATTACCTAACGAGTTTTTCAGAAAATTAAAATCATTTCCAAAACTACCTCCTTGGAAGGTCCATCGGAAAACCTTGGAGAGCTGCAGCAAGAAGAAAGGTATTTACTAGTATCAGTCCCATCCGCCCTGGATTCATCAACACTCCCTGCACGGCTAGTCCCACCAGCATCAGTGGGCCAAGCACTGATGCCATAGAAACCAAATTGAAGATTAACAGGTTCAGCCTTATCAATCTGCAATGGACCATACATTGGAATCCCCACTCCATTCTCAGCCCTCGGGTCTAATAAACGCTTCCCATTTGTATCACCAATTGTATCAACAGGCCAAGCCTTAGCCACAGATCCATCAGTATTAACCATAGCCATCAGATTCCTAGAGGAACCTTTCCTCTGGATGAGTTGGAACATGCACTTGGAGCTCAATGAGTTGGCAGCACATTGGTTCCTGTATTCCTCGTCAATAACAGGAACAGTATTCCGCACAGGATCATATAGCTGTTCACCAGATTCACGCCTGCGAAGGCAGCTAAATACTGTTGCATGGATAGCAGCTACACTCTTGTCAACATTGGTATTGTTTATTTTAGGGATAAGATGCTTATCAGCCCTCTTGCATAAATATTCTTGAATTGTCCTAATATTACGTATATACTTCACATATTTGTTCTTAGCTGGGTCAAGTGTCATATATTTTGCTCTCACTGCAAATCTTTCCAAGTGTTTGTCTTCATTGGTGATGTAAATCATGAATGGTACAATTGATGGATGCTTCTTCATAAGCCCCATCTGCAAAAGCAGCATCAAAATAAATGTCAAGAAGAATATAAAATCTACATGGATAGGGAAGAAAAGACTACTTAGATTACACACCACAAAGTTTAGGCTTAAGTGAACACCCTCAACAACAACTGATTCTTTCCGCTCTTCCCATGCAGTAATCAGCCTATCAAGACTGTCGATCACCATCTCACTCTGTGCCTTGTATCCTTCAACAGCCATCTGCTTTTGACTGATGAGCTCAGTGCAACGGTCTGATGGTTGGCCATCAAGTCTTCCAATGGATGAACTCTCCAGTACTTCATCCTTCAGATATGAAGTATTTCCTGCCAACTTTTTTGCTTTTCTTTTCGCCTTAGCCTCAGCAACAGCTACTGGATCCAAATACTCCCCAGCATGATAAGTTGAAGCCCAGAGCAGAGGATTTTGTTTCTCATCTACAAAACTCCTCATCATGTGCCGAATTGAGTCGGTTGATATTACTGTCGTAATGCCTAACCTGCTACCCTGTCAGAGAAAAAATGCAGTATACCCAAGTTAAAACATTCTTAACCAAAATATACCTTCAATTACAACTCTACGTTATTCATTGCAGTTAACTGTTGGCAAAAACAACTGTAAAAGCCTCTGAATAATTCAACACACTTTTGTCACTAAAGATTAAGGTGGCTGCAAGGACATACCAGCAGGGCAGACAAAGTAGATTTGCCGCAGCCACTAGTACCACATAGTAGTACAGTTACAGATTCCTTCCTTTCTCGGATTCTGTGACAAGAAATTATTGTTACGAAGAAATACAAATCAGCTATACAAGCATCACAGAGAAAAAAATAATAATAGTGCTTAACAAACTTGCAGGCAGCCCCAAATCTTATTCAAAGATCCAAAGAAAATAAGCAATAATAAACCTAAACAGAAACAAATATAATGAATTAGCAAGACTACCCATTTCCCAAGCAATAACAAAAGACACAGAATTTACTCCATGAAACCTATGAATTGTCACAAGTGTTCCTATCTTGATTCAGATCAGAGAAAACCCAGATATTTTTAGTATGGAGACTGAATAAGGAACCGAGAATTCTACAAGATTACAAACAGCACCAGCAGTCTCTTTTCAAAGGTAGAAAATACTGCTTTCTCTCCCTCAAATTCCCATAAATTTCTCTCCTCAAACCTCCCACAAGATAGACCAGCTGTACTAGTTACTGGGGTTCATTTAGAACCTAGTGGAGCACAAAACAAGCAGGACAGGATAAATGACCTATTAATACAATATAAGGTCGTGAACAGTTCTTTTAACTAAGATGGCATCCTTAGAATACATTTTGAAGCAACCATTTGAAGTGGTATTATAGATACCAAGGTGAAAAATATTGCATAAGATAAAGTACTTTAAATATTTCAAGTGTCAAATACACCGACTACTTGCATCAGATAGACTAGGTGTAAATCTAACAATACTCAGATCAACATAAAAACTTTCTGGCATGAAGATTATCCCAAAACTCATCCTTGTAAAAGGCGACTTGAAGTTAAACTGCACATGACTAAACCACGGAAGTACAAAGTTGTGGAAAAAACCAAAAGTAGGTTTAAAACAAATAAGAAAAACAGTTAAACATAATGGGGACTCTATTCGAAGACTCATATCATTTATGAGTTTACCTGCACGCTAAAAGCAAGTCAGCCCTCTGGTTGGGACTCACATACTTGTATTCTGCCAATGCTTTGCATACAACATCTAAGAAGTTTGCTCTTCTTACAATCAGAGTTGTGCGCCTTTTATATAGCTCAAACGGAATGTTTTTATTTTCACCATCTTTACATGATTTCAGAGGTTTCCAAACCTCAGTTTCAGCAAAACGCACATCCCAATTATTAACACATTCTTTTTCAGAAAATCTTGTCCCAGACCCTTCAGGAAGCACACCATGACCTTTCCGCATCAACTCAAAAGCCCTTTGGCTTATCTAATCACGTAATCACAGGAAAAAAAATATATCAATCTGGAGTTTACAATGCTTGGAATTAAAATTTAAATAATGAATCGAATTCATTGTTTGATGTGTTACCAATAACAGAAGTACTCGTTAATTTCAACTATTATTTTTTCACCGAGAATTTCATGAAAGTAGGAGTAAAAATTATGATAACTTGCAGCTCCCAACTCACAAACATCTCTCTCGAATTTGTAAATCTTGGATGAAGCTGGAAAGTCGACCACATAAAATTGTATACAATGCATTGTATGTTCTCCATCACACTCATCAGTTCAAAAAATGTTAAAATATCCATCAGTTTATTTGGAGTAGACAAATGGCGTTGATAGAAGAGGATGGATGAGATTAAAACAACTCAGAACGCCAGATAATTACTCAGGTTCATCTATGCATAATGGTAAACATCCAAGCTCCCAAACTAAAAAGCATAAACTTGTACGCCACATAATGACAATGCACTTGTACATGCAAGAGAGAATTGGAATAGGAGATCGAAAATAGACCATTTTTGAGAATGGTCAAGACATTGAAAAAGACCGGTATGTGAAGTTCAAAACCCAGCAGCAGCAATTGAGTACGAAATAGAAACGGTAATTCACAATTAAAGCATACAAAAGGACAAGAAGCTCAAGGGACAAAGGAAAGACAGAGAGAAATAAACATAATTGAAGAAGAACAAGATAGCGGAAATCTATACTTCATAAAATTCTACAAATATAACGCAAAATTGACTACTTCACCAGATAGAAATGCATGAGACAAAAAGAAATTCATAGCCAATCGAAACTGGTTGCTCTCGCAGATTTTGAGAAAAATAATAAAAGCAAAAAGAAGGAAATAGATATGCATGTCACAATATCAAACCAAAAAAAAGAGAGAGCTCAAGGTAGATGCAGATCCAACATCCACAACTAGAATTCAGATACGGAAATATTTGACCATACGCCTCCGCTCTACCAAGAAAGAACGCAATGGCGAAGGAAAACGAAAACCAGTCGGCAATATAACACAAACAATCTTAAATTGAGAAGATGTAGAGAAAAAAAGGCGTTAAAGATGAAGCACCTTGAAAGCATGTCGTGCTTTGCAACCCATAAGCTGCAGAGTGCTTTGCAAAACGGGGCGAGTATACCGGAACGACTCCTTCTCCTCCTTTTCTTGTTCTTCATGATCCAAAATCACAACATACAACACCTTAGCGACGTCCGCCATGTACGTAAGAAGCCAAGCCAATTATCTACACATCAACCAACCAACAACTCAAAACAAAAAACCAATAATTCAAAAGATGAACAGACAACCACGACATTGAGCATTGTCCTACAACGGGCGGAATACACCACGAAAAACACAATTCAAATCAAAACACGAACAAGAACGATAGAGAATGAAGAACAGATGCAATGTGGATCGTGAACCTGAAATCGATAATCAAACAGATCTCAGAAGTGTGTTCGAAATCAAAAGGAAGAAGAAGTAGGATTGAGGCGAGGGTTGAAGTTGAAGATCCTCCATAAACAAGAAGGAGAAGCTCTATTCATTGTTGCGGTCATTGCCGTGTCACCTGTCTTCCACGCAGCGCACAGACCCAGCCTCCACGAGTCCTTTTTGGAGGGCGACTTCCAACTGAAATTACCCAATTCGCCTCCTAATTCTAATTACCATTTAATACCCCCCATTTCCTTTGGTTTTGCAACCCTATTCCCAATCCCCTCACTCCCAGACACTTACAAACAAAACAACCGGAGATTATAAAAGGAAAATCAAAGGCTCCGGTATACACGTAATTCCGAACCAAAACCCGGGGTAATATTGGAATATAGAAAATCCAACAACTTCGCTTCAACGATAACGTCGTCCCCGACTCCTCCTCCTGTGTACATAACGCCAAAACATTTAATTTAAACATGATGAAAATTCGCTTTCAAAAAAAACAAAGAAATTAATTTTTTTTTTTATTTCTTTTTATTGTAGTAACGTTCTTATTTCTTATTTCTTATTTCTTATTTGAGTAACCTAAAATAAATAGATTTTTTAATTAAAAAATTGAAACAAAATTATAATTTTTTTAATGTTAAAGAATAAGATTCTCCAGTTTTTATTCCTTTTTATCGTTTTGTTTGAGCATGGGACATTTATTTCATTGATCTGGGAATATAAATAAATTAAACCAACACAGTCAAAATAAGCATACTTTCTTCCCTATTACAAATTCAACTTTCTATTTTTGGTATGATATATATTAATCTTCCAATCCTATATAAAATAATTTTAAAAAATCCAAATTGTTTACTCCAAACTCAATAAAATAAAATAAAAAATTAAAACGTTTAAATTTTGTAAAGAAAAATCATTATTCGTTGATTAGAACTTATTATGCGATTCGGCATATAATTGATTGACATCTAACGCATCATTAACGATATTACAATGATATATATTCTGTACTTTGACAATAATTGTCACGTGTGTTTTTGATATGGACTTTGATATAATCCTTAAAAAAATAAGCCATATGTTTTTAAAACTTTATGGATTAAAAAGAAAATAATTTTTACTCCAAATTAAGAAACTTTTTTTACTATTTTACAATTTATGGTAATAACATTTTCATTTACTCCACAATACATATTATTTGATTTTTTTAGTTACAACGTATATAATTAATTCTTCAATTTGATTAGTTGCTGATTTATGTATAATTTTATTAAAATCATTTATTTGGGAATTGTTATTAACATTAATGGGTAAACAAACTCAAAATCTTAAAAAAAAATAATAATATTATTTGTAAGAAATGAAAATTAAATTAAAATTTAAGGCATTTTATTGTTTTAATTAATTTATATATAAGATCTCTAAATGTATCTTGCTGAACATAATTTACTCCATTTTGGACTAAATATTTATAATTGAAAGTGTATATAATTTTATTAAAATTATTTGAGAATAATTATTAAGATTTATTACAAAATAAACTAAAAAAAATTAAAATTTAAGGTACATGAATAAAGATTAAATTAAAATTAAATAACGTAGTAAAATTGTCAAAGTGCTTTATTTATATGAAATTTCAGATAAACATTTCTATAATACCAAAGACATTTACTTCATTCTTAAATATTATTTTTGGATGGATATAACATTACAGATAAATTCACTTTAAATTTAAAAAATTATTTTAAAAGATACTAAAAATTTTAATTAATAAAAATAAAAATTAATTGATTAATTTTTAAAAAAATGTTATTGTAGCAAAATTTCAAATTGGGCCCTTTATGTGAGTTGATAAACAGCCCAATTTCACTGTCCCCATGACCGTGAAGCACACAAATCCCCTCTCCAACCCAATTTTCCCAAGTGCTACTATCCTGTGATCTTTCACAAAATTCATCGTTATCTCGTACTATACTACATTCACCAGCCGAAGAGGTGTACTAGTTTGACTCCTACTTTGCTTCATTGAGTTATTTTTCTTAGCTTATCAAACCTGCGTATACCCGACTCTAGACTCTCTTCGAGCCACGAGGGTGAGGATGGCAGCCTTGATTGGGTACCCCTCATCCGAAGGTCGAAAAGGAGGCCACCCGAGCGAGGTTCTACCGTGTTACGTAAATCGGAAGAGAGGAAATAGGGCTCTTTTTGAAGGGAGAAAAAGGCTTAGGAACATATAAAGACCTTGTTCAAACTTTAATTATACTTCTTGTCTCCACAAACGATCAAAAAAGCTGAATAATCTGTGGTTCAATTAAAGAAAAGGAACCCACTTCACAATCTTCATTCTTTCCCTTCACAATCAAGAATCGAAGGCTTTTTTGATTTGCAAAGAACAAAGTTATCACATTCAAGATTCTTTTGTGTTTGTTGACTGGAGTCTAAATTCTGCAAAAAGATTCTCAATGTTCTATGATAGGATCACAGAACAAAATCGATCCTACGATCGATGAACTCGAACGGAACATTCGAACTATAGTTACAAAGATCTGCTTGCCTGATTCAATCATAAGAAGTAGAAGCAACAATGAATCTCAGTCCATTTTAATTCTCAAGCTAGGACAAGAAATGTGTAACTAATCAATCAACTCATCCAAATGGCTGTGTTTTAATACAGATAGAGATGAACAACCAACAATCTGCAGAAGATGCCCTCGATGGCATTACCTACAATAAGAGAAATTCAAGAGCGTACCTTTTTGTAGCAAAATCTCATGCTCGACGCGGTGAAGTTTATTATTCGTTAAACATCATCTCCATGATCACGTCGTTCCAAGCATCAATCGGTCCGGGTAGGCACCAATGCAAGCAATCTTTCTGCACCTTTGCATTTTTGTCATGTGCAAATGGTTGGAACTCTCTGTATGAGCCTGGATGCCCATCAGGCCTCAACAATGAAAGCTGGGTGAGGTCAAGAAGCTTAAGATTCATCCCATTTTGTGACGCTTTTACTTCTGCTTTCTTGAACTCTTCCAATTCGACGTGTCGCAGAATCTTGGTCAGTTCTTTCAGTCCAATCTCGCCTTCTTTTATAGGTGCCCTTTGCTCGCACGTTCCTCCGCTAGACCACTCCCCGTTTTCGAAGTGATCAGGGGTTGATGTTCTCATAAATATCATACCTTTATGCTTGGATGCTACAATAAAGTTTAATGCAGACCGGAGTGATCTGCGATACGCGAAATCAATACCTAACTCTGTACAATTCCTTTTTGGGCAAGAATGGCAGCCCAGCACTTTGTTATTCTCATAGTATAGTGCAGATTTCACAAACCATTTCCCACTAGAAATTATCATGTAGTCTTGTTCGTGGAACTCGTCGATCCATTTCTTATCGAGTTTGTCGAGATGCAGCTCAACTTCAGATGTTGATACACCATTATAATCTTCAAATATAGCAGCTTCTGCAAGAAAAGGTGACCAAATAACTGAAACAGTGAAGTTGTATGATGGAAACCTCCATTTTCTAGACTTGTATCCTTCATCATGGTAGATATGAACTGCTACTTCCACCTGAGAATGAGTATACAGCCAGCTGATTAAGATGCAGAATCCATTCTTTATCAAACAGCTACAAGAAACGACTAAAATTCAACACAAGGATGTCTAGACCAACAAGCCCAAAAGAAAAGGAGCTACCAGCACTAAAAGACTCAACACAGCTACAAGAAACCAACACCCACACAAGTATAGTTTGTCCAGTGACAAGAACGCCCACACGTGATCCTTAAAGAACTCACCAAAATATGATATCAAGTCATGGAGCTATACATTGAAAAGGCTTGAATGATTTTCTGAGATTGGCTTTGTTCTATGAAGGGATGGTATAACAAGAACGTATCTATGGAATACAAGGTAAGCATAAAGTCGACAGTCAAGTCCAATCAACAGATAACCCTCCCTACTTTCAATTTAGTATTGGCATATGATTACATACCGTTGAAAGCATGCACAGCAATGATTGAACATGGTTCCGAGATATAGAATCTCCGATCAACGCCCATTTTTTATCCCTCATCGCCTCAAGAAATCGTTGTGGATCAAACTTCGATAGTTCGCAATCCCGTGGCTTCCATCTCCAGTATAGGTATTCTGTATCTGGCCGCCCATTCTTCATACAATTTTGATGAGCTTCAATATGGGGGCAGCTCTCGTTATTGTACACAGGACCTGATGGATTTGGGATCCACTCCCCAACAAAAAGATTACACTTCCCTGCTCCAAGATCAATTCAACCAAGAGTTTAATACTTCGTTATCTAAGAATGCACAGTACAGTTCTATACAGATTATGAACAAGAAATAAGTAGAGAAGCAAGTCATTGCTTAGCAACAGAGTAATCCCACATTGAGTATCAAATTTAAAGAACACTACGGTAGTAAAACTTCAGCACCACACAGAAAAAGAGAAACCCCATATTTTGATTAACACTACAATTCAAGAAGAGCAAATAGTTATGAATTTTCGATCCTAATCCAAGCATTTTGAGAGGGTGATTTGGAAAGAATAAGAACAATAGCACAAAAGAGAGCATCAGTTCATTACCATCACGTGGTGTCTGATCTTCAACCTCCGGAGATTCCAGTGGCATCGTCGCCTGCAAATCCTCAGTCTTCTTAGACAAAGGAGTTTCCAAAATCTCAGGAACGTCATTCTGCTCAGTTAAAGGGCTTTCCAAAATCGTCGGCGGCGCCGTTCTCTCTGTTAAAGGGGTTTCTAAAACCGCCGGAATGTCACCGGAACTAGCAAAGAGGAATCGAAAAGCAATACCCAGTAAGAGAATAGGAAGAACGAGCTTCAAAATCAATACATGATTGCGTTTAAAAGGAAACGGCAGCTTCCAATTGAACTTCATCTTCCTCTTCCCCACTTTGTCCCTGTAACAAAATCGCAATGCCCAGTTCAAAACCGTATCAAGCCGAAGCTAAAATCCAAAACCCAATACTCTAAATCAGGGCGATTCCATTAAAACGCATCTAGATCCAAGCTCCCCGCACCAAATTTTGTCGTTGTAACAAAAGGGTGAAGCCAAAAAAACCGAGATAGAGAAACTTAGGTCGTTCTAATTCAACCTAGTGCAGAAGAAAGTGAAGGCGAAACAGAAACTAATTGAGCCATTAATGATTGAGAGAGATGATACGAATAAAAGAGGAGCTACCCAGTTGCACAAACAAGCTGAAAGGAAAAAGAAATCAATATATTAATTCGCTAATAATTTTGGGTTAGAGTAATCAAATCATAAGATCATCAAAATGGCACATTAACACGATTAAAATATGGAGGTTGGAGGTAAAGCTACAAATTACAGCTAATGAAAATTATGATTCCGACCCACTTGAAATAAATACCTCCGCCAGTTTCAGACGTCTTATCTTCCAAATTGGCCCTATTTTGATATGGCGAAAAGGTACAAATCTCTGCGGGGAATGGTGAGGACTTTTTCTGGGAGTCGGTGCCTTCGCTTCATCACGAAAATTCGTGAAAATTATTTTCTTTTTCTTTTTCTTCCTCTAAATAATTGATTTTTTTTTTTTTGTTCTTTATCTTACAAATACATGGTTACCAAGATCTCAATGAATCAATGGAGTTAGAGGGAGAAATCTTTAGATTAAATATTTCGACCATGAAGACCGAGCATATTAAAGATGAAATAATTATAATTATTTTAAATTTCTTTTTAATTCAAGATAAAACAACTTGAGGGTGTCTTCCATTTCAATACAATATCTATGTTCTTCAGTCAATATCTCTACGAGCATAAACAAGAGAGCTAAGATAAGATTAAGGTATTCAAGTATGAATGGTTTCATGGTTACGATGTAGAATGTTTCCAGTGAACTGAAAACTCATGGATCGTGAAATATGATCACTAAATGGAGCTTTACTTTTCCAGATTATGACTAGTCTCGGGTGCTGGTCCAAGAAAGTCTTGGAAACAATAACTCACGTTATAGTCAAGGGAATGACCCATTGGCCTCTAATCATGTAACAGAAGGGGTTCTTATTTGTACAAATGGTACTTCAAACTTGGAACGAGCAAAAGAAATTAACGATACTTCTTTATCTTTTCCCTATGCATCTTGACTAAGGTCTTACAGGCGTGCACTTTAAATTTAGGTATGGGAATTGATCTAAGTTAGGGCTTTGATGTAAAGCTCATCCACCCTAATTAAGACCTTTTCTTCTCGAGTCACATGTGCTGGTAGCCTGCTTTCGCCTCGATAATTACCTAATGAGAGAAAGTCGATGCCAAAGTCGCCCTTTACGCGAGGGAAGAATGCTCCAATTGTTGTAGTTCGACTTCACCAGACGTGGCAACAGTACACTTCAAGCCCATAAGCCAAACAAGGCAAGGAATGGATTAGATGGTTGCTAGCAGTTGTTAACGATATCACCCGAATCAAGATCATTTTATATCTCATATGCTACGTTATTACTGCCATTGGATACATAGATTTAGACTTAATAGTGTCATCGCTTCGATCAATAGTCTTGAGTACTATCGAGCTTGACCTAGACTGGTCCAATTAGATAGTGTTTCGAGGTTTATTCATGTTCGATGCCGCTATTGTGAGTGGAAATGGATAGAAGTTTTCTAAACAGTGTCATTGTTTTATAAATTTGTCTTGAGCGAGTAAGAGAACACACAGATAAATTCAGTTATTACACATATTCAAAATATTAAAATATCACAATTTTTTTTATTGATTGAATTGTATTAAATTTATTTTTGTAAAAGAAAATCATAATTTAATTTTATCTCGATTTAATGGGTTGATTTCAACTTAAAAAGAAGTTCGGTATTATTATTGCAACTTTCCATAAATAATGTGAAAAATGTTAATTTATCATTGTTGATTAGCTAGTTATATGACTAAGACCATTTAAAGAAGAAAAAGAAAAGTAAATATTATTTAATCTAACATTAAAAAAGAAACCAAGCTGAGGAGGAAATAACCATATTAATATAATAATAATTAATATCATATATTGTTATATTTTATACAAAAAAAAGAAGAAGAGAAAAGTATAGTCACAGAGATCCAACCATTGGATGACTACCACGTGTCCCTTCACTTCTCCTCTCAAATCTACGTCGCTTCGATGAGTTGGCCACGTCTCCGGGGCCCTACCCTGTCTAATCGACGTGGCATCACCACCACCTATCGTTTAAATCTCCTAAACCTCAAAGCTGGATTATTTATTTATTCATATTACATATCTTAATACTATTTCTTATCCTATAGTTTTCAGTATACTTCGGGAAGTGTGACAATGAAATTGATTTCATTATAATTTACGACAACAAAAGACTATGATAACAAATAAATAATATCATATAGTTTCGTTAATCAATAACTTTAATTTTTAATTAAAAATTTGTATCCATACAAAATTGCCCGTGAGGCAAACCTGATCCCTTGTGGGATGTTTTTCTTTTTTTCATATATATATATATATATTTAGAGGAGAGGAAATTTAATTACAAATTTATAAGGAAGAAAATGAAAAAACAAAAATACAAGAATTTATTTATTTATTTTATATTTTGTTGAGGATGAGCAAGCGAGGCAAAAAGATATTTTGTCATTAGGCTTTGTATCAGCTGTTGTGTCACACGTATCTCTCTCTATTTCTATTTCTATTTCTATTTCTATTTCTGCCGGGTTTTTTTTTTTCCCTCCTCTGTGCTTTCTAGGGTTTTTGCTCTGCTCAATTACTTGTTTAGGCTCTGGATTTTTGTTATTTTGGTCTGGTTCTCAGCTCCGTCGGATAATTGTTGAAGTAGCTTGTTAATTCAACTTTCTGGTGGGGAATTCATATTGTTTCCCTGCTGGGAATGTGAAGATGATTTGTGGATGGAGGTGGCAGTTTTTATATTGCGGATTTTCTGTTGAGTATTCGTGCTCGGGAGCAGGTTGGAGGTGAGTTCTTATCGGTAGGTAATTATTGAGGCTATATCCGAGTTTCGGATTGTTAATTTCTTTATTTGAATTGAATTTTGTTCTTATCCTCCAGATGAATCGCTATTGGATTTTTTTTTTAATATATATTTCCAATCCTTGTTCTACTCTCTTTTATTGAATCAGTTTTTCTGGGGGACTTGATTTTACTTGTACTGAATTGGGTTGTTTATTGATCATTTTTGTTTTGAAGTTCCTGTTCGTAATGATTAAGCTTGGGAGTGGATAGTTTAATTCCCATTCTTAACTGATGCTTTGGGTTTTCTGTTCTCTGTTCTGAGTGTTAATGGGAAGTCGTTTTAGTTCTATTTTATAAATGAATCAATTGCATTTCTTTGACATCTGCACCTTTAACCTTGAGTTTCCTGCTTCTGCTGCTCAACGATTTTGAATGGCCTATGTTTCAGAAATTTTCCGTATCTTGAATCTGTTAGTTGTGTCTATAGTTTCCAACTACCGTTCTTTTCTTAAAGAGGATTATTGCTGTTCTGAAGTTTTCAGGAACTGAAAAAATTGGTTCTCAGGTTTTGGCATTCTATTTGTGATATTTGACTTAGAGAGTTGTGTCGTGCTAGCAGGGAAATCAAGTACGTGAAAGAATGAAGTTAGTCTGGCGAGAATGGAAGAAATGAGTGAGGAAATGACGCTATTGTATGTGACAGAGGATGCGCATGTCCAAAATAAGGTTAGGCAAGATGCTCAAGAGAACGAGTATTCACTGAAACCTGAAAATATCAACATGGTTGAATCACAAGAAATGCTTATGCCCATTGACGGTGGCTATTCACAGGATTATCCTCATGAATTTACTGACATTTTAGAGGGTAAGAATCTGAATAGGTGTAAGAACAATGTGAAATTATCTGATCAACCAGAGTGCAGTCCTCACTGTATGGATGATGCTGGCGTAATGGTTGAAGAACTAACTGTGAAAAATCAAAGTGGTTCCAATTTAGCAATTATTGGTCCATCAAACAATAGAGCACGACTGCTTTCTGGGCATAGTCCGTGGCAGCATCTTTACCAGCTGGCAAGTGGTTCAGGAAGTGGGAGTTCATTTGTCGATACTTCTTACAAGAATATTGGTCAGGCAGTAATCACTGGCTTGGAGAATGGTGGGTACTCATCTTTTCCGGAGTCTTTTGTTGGAGGAGCCAATCGTAATGATTGTGGAGAGGAATTGGAAGAATTGAAGGCTATTGACAATAAGGGTGGTGATGCTCTTGGCAGCATTCGGACCAAGATTCTATCAAAATCGGGGTTTCCTGAATATTTTGTTAAAAATACCTTGAAAGGCAAGGGGATCATTCGAAGAGCTGTTCCTCTGGAGGGCTTTAGTGTTGAACATAGAAACCCTAAGAATGCAAGGAATGCTGGGGGCATTACATTGGCATCTGACTCATCATTACGGCATGATGCTAAAGCTGTCATGCCCTCTACGTATAAGAAATCTGAGCGTAAACGTCAGAGTTCTGCTTTAGATGGTATTAATCTAAGAGAATGGCTTAAAGTTCCCCACGAAAAAGTAAATAAAACTAAATGCTTGTATATATTTAGGCACATAGTTGAACTGGTGGATCGTGCTCATGCTCGAGGGGTTTTCTTGCATGACTTACGACCATCTTCTTTCAGGATATTGACAACAAATCAGGTGAGGTACTTTGGATCTTTTATTCAAGGGAAAATGCCTGAAAGTCTAATGGTTATAGATAGTCAATGTTCAGATAGCCGTCCGACTCGGAAAAGGCCATTAGAACAAGGGAACTTTCTGTCATTTGGTGTATCTCCAAAAAAGCAAAAAGATATCCAAAATACAAGTCTTATGGCCCGGCACTCTCATTTTCCTTTAAAATCTTGTGTCAATCTTGAAACTGCAAATACAAGGGATTGCAATATGAATGATTTGGAAAATTATGATGAACGTTTTGCGGAACGGGGGGTTTGGAGCATGCCTGCTGGCCATTGTGCATATGATTCAGCCCAGACTCCAATAAGTGACAAATTGGAAGAGAATTGGTATGCAAGTCCAGAGGAACTAAATGCAGGATGCTTCTCAGCTAAATCAAATATATTCTCACTTGGTGTTCTTCTTTTTGAGGTGAGAAGATAGTTTTTGTTTAATTGATAGGAAGAAGTTGAGACTCTTTTCATCCATTCATAAAATGTTGAATATGCTTCTAATTTTTGTATACGCTATTTGATCAATGCCCTTCTGTCAAGTTTAGCCGATTATGCTCCACCCATCTTTCTCTCTCTTTTTTTAAAGCAAAAATTTGAGGGGGGGGGGGGGGGGG